GTGGAACTGCAATACAATGAATGTATTGGGATAATTTCAAGTTAATCTATCAATAAATGAATTTGTCACATCGCCCTAAATTCTGTCTTTTTTGATCCAAATCAATAAACACTTTTCTGGTGCACACATTATTTCTTGATTATTCGAGAACAGAGCTAAAATTTTGTTTCAATTTGTTTTTCCAAAGAATTTTAAGAACAGCGTCTTCTAAACTTATCCGAATTATTAATTTATATATTAATTCTACAGCTGTTTCAAACGATTTGTTTAAATTATAGGGCGAGCTTTCATTTATTAATAATTCAGAAGTATTAGGATATTTAATTGGTAAATCAAAGTTCATCATAAAGATGTTCAACTATTTATACTTATAATAAAGTGATTTGCGCATTTGCTTACGAGCCATAATCCGCAACCAACCCCTCCATACGATTGCGGAAGTCGACACACTCGCCTTGTCTAAAAGATACTTTTGCGTGCATTTAATAACAGTCGCTAAATGAAAGCATTGTGCGGCGCTGGCTGACCACAAAAAAATGTATATTATAGTCGTATTATATTAAAAATGAATTATTTTTCAACGTTGCAAAATAAATAATACAAACAAAAAAGTGGCAAAAGCCGCAAAACAAAACATCTTAATAAAAACAACAGCCAAGCCAAGACAATTGTATTGAGCTGGAATTATAAGATCGAGTGTACCGACAAAATGACGGAAACAAATAGCAACGCAGACACATACACGCACATAGAAATTGCCAGCAAGTTTGTGGTTTATAATACAGATATACAGCTAGATATATCACTAGACAAATGGGGCGTTGCTCTATAATGCGCTGGCACTTTTATAAATAAAAACGAATGCTGAAAGCACAAATAGATTCGAGCTTTGAAGAATTGAGACACAAGAACAATGCGGCACAAGCTGAAAATTGATTAATTTTATTAAATAATAGAGAAGGCAGAGAATGTTATTGTGTTAGTGAATGGATAAATTGAGATGTGAACATGATGACAAAATGACAAAAGGCACATTCCAAATATATTTTTCACAGCTGTGTTTTACAAATAACTTTAAAGCAAAACTATATATACAGAAATGTATGTATTATATTAAGTTCACGATTTCTGCCTATCGATTTGGCTTAAAAACAATTAAGTAAAAGCAAAAGACGCAGGTTAGAAAGTTCTTTAAATGTATGTAGCTAAAAAATTGCATTTTAAATATTGAGCACTACACTTTGTTATCGATAATACAAGCAATCGTCTATCAATTATATTGTACTCGAACCAAGAATCTTAGCGGTAGGCGCTTTGAGTTAATTGTTAGTTTGTTTGTTGCTCAAGTCTCTGTCTGCGTTACCTTGACAATTGGCACACGACGCACACCAAAAACAACAAAGCCGGACGAACGCGTGCTTCGGATTGAAGACAAAAATTCAAATTAGAACATGAAAAAAAAAAAAAAAACACGCGAATGTGCGCCAATTATGCAAATGTTAGCAACGCCAAGTGAACGCAACGGAAAAAGGTGTCGCAGGCAATTAATTTGCATATCGGTCAATTGTTGCACGATTTACGAAAGCGTGTGCGTTCAGAAACAGTCAAAGTCATTTCTTATACAAAAACAAGAGATCACTTTTTATAAAACAGACAATGGAGTCAAAAAAAATTTGGGAGCCCCATAACATGATTAAAACAATTATTAAGCATATTTCAATGCCACTTGAAACGCCCACGCATCATCCGAAATAACTACCTTCGTAATTAAAACAAACATGATGGCCAAATATTTTCACTATTTATTTATAATCAGCCCACGCATTGCACTGAATTATTTTTAAACAAACAAATCAATCAGCCAGATGAAAAATCAAATATTTGACCGCATTAGTTTGTCAAGCGCTATAGCAACATAAATAAACATAACAATGTCGGATTAACCTCAATAAGAAATAACTTGAGGCATGAAATAACAGTCAAGTGGCACAATTACATATTTGTTTCCCTCTTTTTTTGGTTACGCATCAAATGGCTATGCATATGGAGAAAATGTGTATGATTTATATACAGAGAGAGAACTTTAATTTTTAACTAGAGTTTCCAATAAAAATTCACTTTTTATACCTCAAATTTATAGAATTAGAAAATTAAAATAAAATGGAAATTTATTTTAAATAAATAAACCCTTAAGAAAGCCATGTTTGCTGGAAATTGGTGATTATAGTGCAATACGTTTTTTTACATTAATGGAATTGCAGAGAACAAACTGTATAATTTTGCAACAACTACTAGCCAAGGCTCCTAATTTCTCTAACTCTAATTTCGAGTATTTCTGCACTTCAGTTAAAGAAATACCGGCTAGACCAGTTTGGATATTATCTTTATTTATAGTATATTATCTGCAAATTAGATTAGATTTTTATCCGCGACTGAATTTTTCAGAAACACAAATTGTTCCACTGAATCTGTCAAAATATAACCAGTTTTTATTTCAGCATTTCATTAGAAGAAATGCAGGTTACGCTCAGTTTACGTATTGTCTTTATTTCTATAATCTGCTAATATTTCCGTGCTATGCTAAGCGATGCTCTTATATATTTTTCTTAGTGTACGAATAGTTAATACATATTAGCACCCTATAATACAATTTTCGTTTCGGCAATTATTGCAACAAATAATTACAAACTATTTCCCCTCTCATTTTGTGGTATATTTATCGTATTTCCTTACAAGTTGCAATTTTTTATTTGGCTGCGGTTGAGGTTGGGCGATTGTCAACAATAAAGAAAAAACGGTAACAATATAATAATAACTATACCCACTACGTACTGACCTTCGCAATAGCTACTGCTGCTGTTTGCTATAAGTGCCAAGTAGACTTGAACGAGCGGTTCATATTTAGGGTGTAGCATGTGGTTTTGTGGTTGCATGGAAAAGCAAACTGCACTATAATTTTAACGAAAGAATTTTTACTGAAATACTGGATTTAAATAATGGAATTAGAATAGTTAGAATAGAGCTATAAGACTATAAGGTAATGTGTGTAAAATGCAACCGATTTAATTATCAACGAAATGTAACTAATAATAAGACCCCTTATGAATTATATGGTTCATAGTTCAATTACTTTGGAGTAAATTGTTCTAGAATGCTGCTATCTTTAAAACATTTGACATTTCTTTTCGCATAATTGAAAGACTTTAAAAATATTATTTAAAATGCTATACGACTCAAATGTCTCAAACAACAAACTTGCTATATAAACTTAATATATGCATCATTTGGAAGTAGAACAGCTAAAGTTAATTCAAATGAATACTAAGAGTATGCCCAACAGCCAACTCGAAGCTTTGCAAAGACGGCAGGCAGGCAGGCAGGCAAACAAAAGACCTAAGCAACAAACTTGTCCGATACAATTAATAAACGCTACGGCAGCTAATGCAAACAATTTGTTTGCATACCTTCGACATTAGCGACCAGCTATAACCTTTTGCAGGCTGACATCAACAAGCCCAACGCAATTAGCAGATAAGGCAAATAAATCAAGAACCAAAGATAAACAAGCGAAGGACCGCAGAGTCAAGATGAAGCAGAAGAAGAAGAAGAACATTTTCGAGCCAAACAGAGAACATGAGCAGCAAAAATAAATTGGCAATGCTGCCGTGCAGAGCATTTATTTATGTGTGCAGGCCCATGCCTAATTATATAAAATTACGCTTAATTAAAATTTAATTAACACAATCAAGTAGCGCACCGACATACAAACACACACACATACACACACCAATATATACTATACATTTATATGAATGTAGACACGCTTAGGCGCAGGCGTAGCAAAATATAAAAGTAAAACCGGCAAAACGTGTCGACAATGATGAAGGCGACATCAGTCTTTGGCCAACTGCCGCTCAGCAATTTTGAACATTTTCTTTACATACTACAACAGCAACAACAACAATAATAACAACCAACAACAGCAACATACAACTTACAACTTTTATTTCTGTAGCCAAGTGTTAAAGACGCAACGCATTGGCCAAAACGAGTGCAAGTTCAGCGCGCAAAAACAAGTTTAGTTGTTGGTGTTGTTGTTGTTTTTCTTCTGTTTTATGTTTTTCCTTTGCTTTTGGCCTGGCCAGCAGGCGTCACGCAATGCCTGAACATACAAACACACTTGTACTTACATATGAGGAAGTTAATGCCTGAGCAGCTAGGCGAAAAGAAAACTAAGTAACAGTTACTATTTACCGGCCGAGCAACGCTTAGGCGCATAAAATATGCAGTAAAATTGCTTTTTCTTCGGAATTGTGTAGATCGCACAGCTCCAGCCGCCAACCGCCAGCCGCCAGCTTTGGCCTCAGCTCTGACTTTGGGCACCCACTTGGCCACGAACGTGCTAAATTTAGTTTCCACTATTTTCACCCGAAATCGTATGGCACCGTATGGACAGTTGCCGGTCTGTGGTTTGTAGTCTGTGTTAATGTCTGGTAGTGTTTGTTGTGACAGCTCTGTGGGATTTGCGACCCAGTGGGGGACACCACCATATGTGACAGCCAACAAAATAAATCATGTGGCAAAGCAATTTGGTGTTACGTGTATGTGGCCAGAACTAATCAAAAACTGCACACTAACTTGTTGGTTAATGGCAAGTGCCGACTGTGATGTTTCTAGCAAAGCTGTGGCAGATATTCTTAGTAATAGTTAACGGTAAACATTGAGCAACTTCAACTTTTAAGCGCAGAGTATGAGCAGAACAATTGTTTGGTGGAAGCTCAGATATTCCTATCGTTGTTTAGATTTATCTATTCTTTGAAAGGGCACAAAATATACACACTTTTCATCTTCTATATAAAAAGTAATCGAAGTTTCATCCATCACTTGCATTTGCACAAATTAATACAGATTTTTAAATAGTAAGCGACAAAAGAAAATGAACTGTAAACAAACCAACAACTATTCCTTGTGCTTTGAAAGTAAAATAAGAATCAATCAAATAATTGTTGAAGAATTTTTGTACTTTTTATTTCCTAGTATCTACAATTTAAAATGATGCCTAAAGATTCCAATTTTTGTGTATTTGGGGAACAATTTCGCCCCAGAACTATTTCGTATTCAACTTACTGCCGACAGTTTGTTTGTTTATGTAAATAGCCCATGAGCGCTTTCAATCGCTTTTTTATATTTTTCTGATCATCCAGCGTACAGCCCAACAGCACGCTCTCAAATTTTTTGTCAACTGGACCCATATCGGCATCAGGCAGCGTATCCATATGAGTATCCATGGAACTACTGCAGCAAGCGTTCAAAAATAGCTGACATCGCTGACGCGCTATGTCCGGATCTTCCATCTTAATCATAGCATCTATCAGTGCATTAATCTGGCTAAGCGAATCCTCCTGAGAGTTGTCACGTACTGTACGTACGTTCAGCTCTACCGTGCCAAGGCGATTGTTGACGCGTTCTATGTAGCATAGAATTTCCTCGCGTTCAGCGTCACTTATGTTTTGTAGATTTTCGTTACTTTTTATGAGATCCAAGGTCATCAACAGGTGGTCTTTTGTCTCCTGCAGATTCAACGCATCCTTACGAAATTTCTCAACTTGCGCGTCCAATTGATCTAGTATGGAAACAAATCGTTCATTTGCATTAAAATGTTCGCTGTGTTCTGTGCTATTGTTTTGCAGCTGTAGAAAATAATCATCTGTACATTCAACAGGAGAAGTGCAATCGTCCATTTTATCATTTCCAATTATATTGGGCCGTCGCTTTTGCGATCCTTCAGCTGACAGAGTCTCCTCATCAAAATGTCGCCGTTTGCGCAATTTATCCAATAAACTTATTAACATTTCAAACAAAAAACATTTAACGTATGCAGTAATGGGCCTTGAACGCGTATTATTTGATTTGCCTAAATCTGCTTCAACATGTGTATTCAAAAATATTCTATTTTAGTATTTTTGACAATCAAATCGTAGTAAAAACTCAACTTGAATTCACACCATATTTGAGACTTCAATTTTTAATGTACGTAGTAGAAGCTGGCCAAATAGTCTTCAAACGAAATGTAAAACTGTTTTTATCCTTTATAACAGAAAACTGACACCAACGTCTCATTTGGCTAAAACGAAGACCCCATTGGCGTTGTCTTTGGTCAGTGGCTGATGTACAAGCTAACTATATAGTTTGCATCAGAACCTTGTCTTTTTATCACATAAAAAATGAAGTTCCTGCTCCAATTTGACACTAACTAATGATTTGAGCTGTCATGCGAGTGCGTGTGTGCTTGCGCATCAGTTTGCGCAAAAGGCATAACGGTTCGAGATTGCAATCAAAAGCAAATCAAATTCAATAGCAGGCACCATAGGCTGGCATCATTCTCTCAATTAAAAGCACTGACGCAGTCAGTTGATACCAGCGGAAATAGACTGTGACATCCGCTCTTGAGTGCTAACCACTTCTACTCTATACTCGTACAGTACTCTGCCACTACACATGCCTCGGCCATATCCGCTTAATTAGAAATTTGCACAGCACCGGTCAAGTTCAAAGCACTTTACATCCGGCTAGCCTAACATTTTCACACTTTACAACAACGGATTAACTAACGAAATGTATTATTGCTCTTGTCATTTCAGCGCTTCTCACAGCATAGCACACACACACACACACGGAGGAGAGTAAAAAATTAAAGTGGACCGTGAAAGCAGCAGCAAAGCAAACAAAGCGTGCAGAAAATACAAGAAATCAAATAACACACACATACGAGTATACTCGTAGAAGAAAAGCAAAGAAAACCATCATTTTCCATAATAAAGTCGGGGGCACAGTAGCAGTGCTTAGAATGGCTAGAAAATTATTATTATGATAATAAATTAAACTTGCCATTAATTTAGCAACGAAAACAGCGACAGACAGGCACTATTAGAGATGTGCGCGTGATAAGAACAAGCACTTACGATCACAAGAAAATTTCAAACATTTAAAAAATGTAACCACTTTATCGATTCTACAATGTTTTCAATATCTTTTTCAATATGATTTGGTGATCTTTTTAGAAAAAAGTAATGAACTAGACATTTAAAAAGTAATCAAGTTGAAACAATTTATTTATTTGTGAATCGAGAATGTTAAGCTTTGTTAGACATAGTATATATTTTTGAATTTACACAAGACGTTTTGAAAAATTGAATGAAAGAAATTTATTGACTAACTGATTAACTCACGCACATCTCTGATATAGACTGTCTGCAAGCAGTCAGAGGACGGCAGCATAATAACAATAAATAATAATTTGAAATAGGCAAGCGAATAGAGAGACAGAGCCGACGACCATCAGAGAAGAGGAGAAAATAAAGAGCCCGGATCCAAGTGCAGTGCCTGATCAAGTCGAGCGTGCAAATTAAAAGCGCACAGTAGCAGAGCAAACGAAGCTTCTTTGTTATATGTAAGCTCAACAACATGGAAGTGGCAACAACAAACAATCACAGTCAAAGTCATCATCATCACCATCATCATAATCATCATCTGCAAGCGCATCATCATGGCAGCGGCCCTGGTGGCGGTGGCGTTGTCAGTGGCAGTGGCAGTGGTTCCCGCTCGCCCTTTCAGCGTGAGGTGCGTGAATGGCAACGCATCGATCCCGACACTGGAGCTCTGTTCAGCGGACGCTTGGAAGCAGATCGCTGGATTAATGGACCATTGAATAGCTATGGCAAGGTAAGGGCGATACTTTAATTTGATTGATGCACAGACCAAGAAACGTTGGCAAAACGAAACAACAAGACCAGAGAGTGTCTAGGCCTAATTGTTGTGGTTTTTGAAGCCCATCTTGGCTAAATGAAATTGAAAGGCTGCTCGGCGTCTCAAAAAGGGAGGCGTTTACTTATTTAGTTGAACGCCTTTGCTCTGGCAGTTTTGTGATTGAGCTTGATTGCTGGTTTGGTTTGCGCTCGCTTTTAATTTTACCTCTTGATTCTAATCAGTTAATAGTTTATTTAGCTATTACGCAGCTGGGTGCTGGACACGAGGTTCTCATTTTTTATTGGGTTCAGCAGTCAGTAGTTGGTTGCCATGAGTTAAACAAATTATGACGCACTTTGTTTGAAGTACATAGAGATTGAGACTGAATTGGGAGACTTTAAACTTAATAATTTGCGGCTACCAGCAGCAGCAGCGTCAAGCTATACAAATACAATAATAAGTAATTCTTGGTGATGGAAACCCTGTTAAATTACCGATTAGGCAGAGATAATGAGAAATATCTTTAAAACACAGAGCTGAGCAAAAACACAAGCCGAAGAAATAATTTCCTTCAGTAAGAGCTAAATTTCCTACACTAATTATTATTATTATTTGATTTGAAACTGTCCAATATTAATAATTCATGGTTTGATCTACGAATTTACTCTTTATGTGTATGCCTGATAAGTCCCAAAAGCCATGGTAGTTTACCGCGGCCAATTTTTTGTTTTAATTTCCTACTCGCCAGTTACCCAAATGTAAAAAAAGTAAATTCCGCTGGCGCCATTGGCCATGCTCGAAAAACCGTTAACAACGCATAACAAACTTGCTGGCCAGATAACTGACTGACTGGCTGGCTAGCTGGCTGGACGGTTGCTTGCTTGCTTGCTTCGACGTAGTTTTGTGTGTCAGGCAACTTTTTCTAACTGCATTTATCGACAGCACAAAATCACAGCCGTTGACCGTCTTTACTCAACCATAATTAACAGGTCACACGCACGACGCAATCACCGGCAACAATCCGCGCAACAATCCGACATATTCTCAAATGCCTGCCCAGATGGATACACAGATAGATGGACAGACGAACGCACACGCTGTGCCACTTATTAATCGATTTTGCTAGCTTCAAGTTATATACGAATTTAGATTGGTATAATTGCAAAGAAAATCTGAAACGGCTCACTTAAATTCCGGCAATTGACTGCTTGAGCAATTTTTGATGATATTCCTTTCACACACACATACACACACACACGCGAAGATACACACGGACTGTAATTATTCGTACTCTTCAGATTTCACTTGTCTTTGGGCTATGCTTTGTTAATTTTGTTGCCATTGATTGCTCTAGAATTTGTCGGTTAATTACTATGGCCAGCGACGATGAGGGTGACGACGCGTCGTTGGGGCCGGTATAGCACTCGGGGCAAGCGAATTTTATGCTTGTTCATCGAGTGGCCCATTCCATGCGTCATGTGTGGCCAAGTCGGCGTCAAGTTCTTGCCTCAAGTGCTGCATACTCATATGTGGCCTATAGCTTCACTACTCAACGCATAAAAAGTAGAGAAGAATAATAAAAGCAAGATTCCAACATTGTGGACAGGATAGCGCTTGTGATGCCCTGCAGCTGATATGGCGATGAAAACGTACATGGTTCATTAGATAGAAGAAGAACTATGAAAATATAGTTCACAGAGAAAAAAGGCACCGCTTTGACATCAAGTGCTGGCACTTTATTTGTCAAAACAATATAAGTATGAGTGGGCTGCCTAAACTGGTTCGACAAAATGCGGACGTTTGCGGGACATTTAAAAAAAAATTAATTTCTAGAACAAAAGTGCCTTTATATAATGTTACCTTTTACACTTTTTCAGACAGACGTATAAGTCTGGAGTATATTCATATATCAGTATATGGGTTTTGCCATGCCATCTTCTTGTCGTTCCTAATACCCATTTAAATGTTCAGCACTGGGCATTAAAAGGTGCTGTTATACTATCATTTAATCAATACATATTTTCTTCTTACAAAAAAATATTGAACGAGTATATAAGAATTTATATATTGGTTTATGCAAATAAATATGAAAAGGCTTGCGATAAAGACTATTTTACTTTTATATTTTCTTTAATATATCAATTTTGATGGTTTTGACTTTAGCGGAATTTTAATTCACCTCCTAACCTACAGATCACAGAAATATCACCTGAAATATATAAAGAAATGTATTATGTTTACATTTTCGGTTCTAATTAATGGTAGTCATGGGAAAATTCTTTATATTGCTATGAGAAATTTAGATAACCGCATAATAAATTAGCTTCAAATTTGAGAGACAATCATCATCTTTGCCAAAAAAGAATTTGCATAATTACAATTTGTTGTCGCAACTTTATGAGTAACATTCGAGCGAGAGAAATGCAAATACCCTCTTCATTGGTTTTATGGCAGCAGCGTATTCGAAAAGGCACCGAAAGTTATTTCATTCCGCTCTTCTTATCGCGATTGAACTTTGTTGCCACTGCTGCTGCTGCCGCTGATGTTGCTGCCGCTGTTGCTGACCAAAGCAATCAATACAATCTCCTCCACACGAAGCCAGCACAATCAGCAAACAACAAAATAAAAGTGCTGAGTTTGTTGTTGCTGTTGCTGTTGTTGTTGTTGCCTGCAATTGCCAGTATTATTGCAGCATCGCGTCCAATGCGCCGCATCAAAAGGCGCGCATCAGTTTCAGTTTAAATAGGCGCACTCGGCCACTCGTTTGATTGCTCAGTTTGGTTTGGATTTATATCAATGCCACAGCGTTTTTTAATTTTCGTGGACTGCCGCTGTTTGTGTTTGCCGACAAAGTCAAAGGCAAACTTACCGACGCTAGAAATCAATTGCCAGATCAAAGGTAATAAAACAGCACGAAAAAAATGTAATGAAATTTGCAAGAACTTCTTTTTTTCATTTTGATTTGTGGTCGACAGGGCGACAGAGTTTAAAACGCATGACTTAGGCAACGAACTTTTGCCCACACCCAAAGCACCGTTAAGCATCAGCACAATATCTTAGCATCTATTGAGCGCACGTAGACACTTGGAGAAAATATGGTATATCAGTCACTTACGTTCGATCTAATGGAATATAAATTAAGCACCTCCCCACTTGAAAAATACACCCTTTGTGTTTTTTTTTATCGCTTATTGCGCCCAAGCTAAGCATTCCTCATCCCTAAGATGAAAAACGAAGAAAATGCATGTTGCATTCAAATGGCGAACAAATGTTGTCGATATTTCAATGATATTTAATAATGAAGTAGAAAACAACATATAACGACACTTTTCCAGAACTTGTAATTTATCAGAGAGGGAGAAGAATAGTTTTACAAAGATGGACATATAAAAATTAATCATGTGATGTGTTTCAAAATACTTTAATTATATTAATTAACCGGGGGACATTTCTACTCTTTTTATTTTAACCTCTTTGTCTGAAATATGCAAAGCTATTTAAAGCTACATTTTCCATTGAACTTCCTCAAGTTGCTGCTAATATTGAACATTCTTCTGCTATTCTTATTGAGACTTACTGAAGTTTTTGGTTTTGGCATGCAGTTTTTTGTTGAGTGCAGAGACACAGAGAGAATGCTTCTTCATTAACATTATAGATAGTTGCACATTTACATTTTGTTGCAAGATTTTGCGACATGCAAGCGCGCAGCATTTGAATTACGAGTAACGTCTGCAATCACCGCAGGCGAACGACAGCAACAACACACAAAATGTTGCAAGCCAAGTGCAGAGAGTAACGGTAAATTGCCGCTGGCAGAGCTGTGCAACATTTGTGGGTCACTAGGTTGCCACAAGCCAAGCCGGCAAACCAACAGACAGACATACAGACAGACACACAGACAGGCAGGCCGACTGAAAAGCAAACAGCCAGACCTGAAGATGTTGCCGCCACAAGTATGTAACAACAAATATTAGTTGCTGCTGGTCACACTGGTCAAGGTGTTTGTTTTTGTATTTGTTGTTGTTGTTGTTGTTGCTCTCCCGATGACTTTGTAAGTCATTAGGCTACTAAATTACATACGAACTAATTGAGGATGTCAACCCGACAAGCCTCGCATCCATTACAGCATGCCAATTAATAGTTTCCTGTTTGCCGGTAATGAACTCTGAAGCTCAGTCATACGGCACTTGCAAGACTCTCCAACTGAAGGCATAGCTTTGGGGCACGGCAGACACAAACACACACAAACACACACACACACACACAAAGCCAGACACATGATTTACAAGTCAAAAGGTAGACCAACTCTCTATATATGAAGATATAAAGCCAACGAGATCGTGACAGAAATAATGCATATAAAAATGTATATTATTATAGTTTAAAAAGCGCAGAGCAAAACGTCTTCGAGCAAAATGGCCATTGTTAGGCAGCGCAGAAAGCAATTTAAAATGCAGCGTGCGCCACAGTGGGCTCAAGTTATGCAAATCAACTTGAACTTGTCTACAATACAGTACATACATATATATTCATGGTCATAGGGAAATCATGGAAGAATTTAAGTGAGTCGGCTTGAAATGATTCTGAACTTCAAGATGGCGTTGATAAATGGCAAATGGTTTGAAATACTTATGTGCTTTGAATCGGACACTTTCCCGCTAAAAATTGTGAATGCTAATCAATAAATAAACAACATATTTTATTTTATGATGATTTATTAAGTACACTTTTCTGGAAAATCTCCTGGGAAGTCGCTATAAGCAGCAACAGATTTTTAAATGAATTGCTAATGTATTAATTGAGTCCATTTTCAGCATTACATTGGCGAATGAAAACGTCGACTTTTTTTTATTTAAATCCAGACTAAAAATATCCCCTGTCATTCATATTAAATAACGAGTTATTAATGAACAAATACATTTCGGCAAATATATCTATGTTTTTCAATATTCAAGTATCAATTTAAATGCAATCTAGAAGTCAGCTTGTCGAAGCGTAGTTTCTATTGATTTATTATTACTTGACCCACTGTGCCACAGCGTAGGCAAAGGCAGTATCATGCATCCAAGCTTTAACAAACCAACCGGCGAGCCACTCAGCTGCGGCTAAAAATAAAAAGAGTCAACGCTTTGGCATGTCTATGCAGCCGCCAGAAAAGGCGACATGCATGCGCAGACATGGAGCATATGGCAGACAGCTAGCCAGCCCAAGATAGACAGTCAATCTTATGGCATGAGACAGGCGGCACAGAGCCGCAGTCTCCGCTTCTGCATCTGCCCCTGACTCTTCCTCTGCCTTTAGTCCGGGTACTGTCTCGACCTCTAGTCTCCCTACCATAGTCATGACGATACCGGCGACTTCGTAGCCTCTGCGCTTCTGCAGCATCATTAAATTCGTTTAAAGCATGCGCTACGTTTTGGGGCCCAGGCGAAAATATTTTGGCATAGAAGACGACTACAACGAAGACGACGACGACGACGACGACAACGACGTCTACATCATCACGACTTTTGCTCGTAATATATGCGCGCGATGGTGCGGTTCGAATGCCAGCCAGCTGCCGCATTTCATTGAACCTTCAACTTGACTTTGAGCCACAGTGTTAGCCACTAAGCCACCAAGCCAAGTCACCGCCAAGCCACCGCCAAGCAGCCAAGTCATCCAGCCAGCATTTTCAATTTGGCAACGTTGTCTCGCTGCGGTTGTTTGTAAGCTTTATCTGCAAGCTGTGCGCTTTTATCAACACAACAAGCACAGCAACAACAACAACAGCATGGGCCTCAAGTTCGAGATCATGACACTGATCATTGGCTGTGGCAAATATTTCATTTCGGGTTTGCTTTCTATTGCCAGCTGTGCAGAGCCTTCGATTATGTGCACTCGAAAAACTTTTCATTTCTAAAAATTGCTCTGCAATATGTTGTCATGCATTTCCTCATTTTAATGGAGTCAAAGGTCATTTAATAGAAACGTTAGTATAAACTTGATTACTGGTATTTCGAGGTTTCTACAATGATTTCAACGCGCTTTCTTTACAATTGGAAATTACGAAAAAAAATTACGAAAAAAAATCAAAACTTAATTGCAAAACAAACCTAGTACTCCTATACTTTAGGAGGCACTATGGAAAATCGGTGGAAAACCGAAGCACCAAAGCCCATCAATACCTAAATACATCATACAAGACCAAATTAATTTTATTCAAAAGAAAAATTAAAGTAACAGTGTACTTTTCGCTACATAAGTTCTGTATATCAAAGCACATTTATTACAAATTTATAAATTGTTTATATTTATCTTATAAAATCGTTGCCTGTCCGACTATATCTAAGAATATTGGACAATAAAGATGCTGGAACTCCATCGTTTGGCATGCAAGCTTTTCTATGTTGCTAGCGACTATTTCACGAAATTCAATAAATAATATCGAATCTAATTCCTTAAAAATGTATATTATCAGCAACAAATGTTAAGAAAAAGTTCTTGAAAAACTGTGTTTTATTGGAAATAAGGAATACTTTATTTGCAACCCAATTTCTAGACGTGCACGCAAAAATGTTTGCGCAATCTTTGGCAATGCAAATTGGCGTAGCTTAATTAGCTCAACTACTCGATGAAAACCAGGCCAGCAACAACAACAGAAAACTCGACTCTCGCACACACACACACACACGCACAAGAAGTAAAACAACATGTGGCCAAGAAAATGGCACAGAGTCGCAGTTTTCCATGCCAAAAGAGGTCATCGATAGACATGCTATGTATGTATGTAGAAGTACTCGTATATATGCACATTTTATTGGCCAGAGCCACTAAAAATTGTAATGCATTGCAGCGGCTGCTCCGAACAGGCCATAAGGAGTTGTGCGCCTGAGCTTGGCTATGGCGTGAGAAATTCTCAGTCATCTGTGGTCACAGATGCCAGAGCGTGCATCGCCCAAGGGTCCCAATCTTTGCTTATAATTTATGTCTGCACACAATAGTACCCTTGGTTGGGGCTCAAGGATGAGTGTGACTTTAGGGAGCTGTAAAAACGTATTATGCATTTGAAGTTGGACCAACAACTGAGTCAGCAAATGAACGGCCAAGGGAATTTAGAGGCAACAGTCTATATATTTTGCAGATGCCTTCAAGGCAACATAAAATAAAGTTTACAGGCTTCGTAGGAATCTAGCACTTTTTATGACCAATATGCCATGTACAGATGATTTATGCGAAACAGATTTTTCAATTTGTTGAAATTCAAATAAACTCGACTATAATTGGAAAAGTGGTGCGAGTCTTAAATCACAATGTTGAAGAATTTACTCTGACAACAATTGACGGTTGAACATTTGACCTTACGCAGAACGAATTTTAAACTGTTCGTAACAACAATTATTATCAGTTATTTTGATAAACTGCATTTTTTTCCCTTCGAACTATTTGTATACTTTTCGCAGATAAGTAAGGAGAATATGGTTTTAACAAAAAATCACAAAATGCCATTCCCAACGGCTTCTACACACAATTTAGCAACCCAAGACCCTCTTCACGTATCCTTTAACTGATCAGGGAATCGCTTAGCCAAAGGGAATGTTTTTAAAGGGCATGTAATAAAATAAGGAGCTTATGTTTACCTATATCGTTCGCAGAAAAATTCGTAGTTTCTGAGCAAAAAGTTTCTTATCATATATTACATTTTATGAATATTCGAAAATGCGTCACAATGTGTCTTTTTTAAAGCTATCCGAAAACCACAAAAGCAAAAAAGTCGACGCGTGGTCGGTCATGAGCAGCAAATCAACTCATGACTCAACCCACAAAGTTGCATACAGAAGAATATTTTGTTGTTGTAATCAAACTTTATGTTCTATATAGACAATGCTGCACTTTGACTCAAACGAATGTGCCGCTGCTTGTTGTTGTTGTTATTGTTGTTGTGCATTTGCATTGAAGTATTGAGAATGCATTTGATTTGGTCATTGACACGAATACGCCAATAAGCCAAGCCAAGCCAAGCCAATGGACCAAATGGACCAAGCGGGCCGGCGTACCTTTTTATTTAACTATGAGTATATTATAAATTTTTAACGCTATAAATCATAGGTGCAATCGATTGCCACAATCGATCTCTTTCTTCATTTCGGCGTGTGTCATGGCTATGGCGCTTGGCACGACCTAACGGCCCACTAATTGTTGCTGTTCATGCAAATGAATTGAAATTGCATGTAAAAGGGTGCAGTGTTTGCGTTTTGGTTTGCTTTTGATTTAGAACTTGTGTTTGCTTGGTCACGTGTGCGCTCATTGAACAGCTGTTCGTTGCTGCCTTCCAAACACTTGATGCTGAAGTGGCTGCACCTAAAACTCGACTCAGAACTGAATTAAGTGCCTACTTGTATTTATCTGTACACTGTTACCACTTTAATGCATCTGTATAATACCTTTTGAACACCTTCCTTGAAGCAAACTTTTTGAATGGCTATATGAATCAACAAGTATCAGTAAAAATATACTACTTTTTGTGAAAGCCAATCTATCTATAAATGAGCTTCGTTCCTAAAATATTTGGAGATAAATGGAATCAAATAAGAATAGTTACTTATTTATTGTAGCTATTTATTGCTTTACATTTTAACATTTTAAGAACCCCTGCTACACATATGACAGCAATTAGAATTGAATAAAAATGTACAGGTATCCGAAACTTTCTTTTAAGACATATCAGATTTCATGGAATACTTTTTCCCATTAGCAGTTAAGAATTGAAAGCGACCATCCAAACATAGAAACCCACCATAACACTAAGAAACTTTACACTAATACTACATACTAATGTCAACCTGCTACCCAATCCTGCTCTCACTCAATCCGTCTATCTCTATCTCTCTCCAGATATCCGATTCCCAAAACATCTCACAACCCAATGGTACACAGCACACACAGCGCAAACAGTTTGAGGTGCTGCAGTCGCGCACTGCCAATGGCGCCATGCAGGTGATACGCACACAAACAGTACAAAAGACCTCATCCACCTCGCGTTGGTCCTCCTCCACATCCACCACAACCACGAGTGGGCTGAGCAGCTCAAACAACAAATCGCTCAGTTCGCATTCACACTGGGCGCCGATTCCAGCGCTCAGTCAAAGCGTTGACATTTGTGAGGTTAGTGATGATGAGGCCGATGATGGTCAGAACAGCAGCAGCGACAGCGATGTTGTCGTTGTTGATAACAGCGCCAATGAGGTAACAGCCATAGAGCTGAGAAACGGCCACAGTCAGGCAGAGCTCGTTGACGATCATGTTGATTTTGTTGTGATTAATGGACACGATCCAGACGACGATGACGACGCCGATGCCGATCCCGACCACCACTACAACGCTGGTCATTTGCACAAGCCAGGCCACAATTTGTTACTCGATACGGCGCCAAGTTTGAAATTGAGCAATCTAATGGTAAGTTGTGCCCGCCCTGCGTTTAGGCCCAACTGGTAGATGCAGTAGTCGTCTGTCTTTTGGCCAAAAGAGCGCACGCTCCCCTGTGCTGCAATTTTTCATTTCACTGGTGGCTCATTAGCATGCGGCTTGGTGGTTCAGCTACCGCCGCAACCACCGCAACCACCGCATCAGTGCTGCGATTTATTTGCTTTTTATGCTTTGGCTTTGGTTTTTGTTTTTGCTTTTGTGCTATGCTTTGATTTGCTTTTCTTTGTTTTCCGTGGCAATGACCGAAAATTAGCAATTGTTGCTGTGGCTTAATGGTTGGTTGGAAAATTTGTTGGATTTTGTTAAGGGGAAATCATAAAATGTGATCCATATAATTAGGGGTGCTTCAATTGTGCGCTACAGAAAAATATTGAAGGGATTTATCGACATTACAACCATTAGGGAAATGTGTGTATATCTACAAATATACTAGTCTTTGCAATCCTTTCAATACCTTTCTATAGATCCCCACTCAGTGCGTCGTATTGTTGACCCTCTATTTAATATATTGGGAATAAATCGAAACACCTTAAATATACACCATATTGTTGCTGAATCTATAACATCTCGATGACATCAAGCTTTATTTAGAATTGTTTAACCGAGTTTCTTGACAAGTTTTCTTTTCACACACAAAGTCGTTTTATCCATCTCCCAATACGAGTGTATGAGCCCCATTTATAGCATTTCAAGTAGCTGCTGGATCAATCATAGGCTAAGTGGCAAACACCCCAGCCACATTGAAAGTTTCACAAATTAATCATGCAAATCACACCAAAACAATCAGCAAGTTGCACAAATTTACATATGTCACATTTCCAACACGTTTAGTTATCTGCCATACATCATCGACCCATTCGACGACCACGCGCAGTCTCCAATTCTAATGAAGCAGCCGCAGCCACGAATGCTTGGAAACAATAATACGTTAATAACCAAACACAATTAAGCGCTTAGCACCTAAGCCACAATGCTATGAATAGCCAGAGAGCCAGCCAGAGAGTCAGCCCGTATTGGAAACTAAACATTTAGGTCATGACTACCAAAGGAAATTTTTTTCTGCCACCCAAGAGATCAAGACGCGAGACGGTAGACGGTTATTAGATGAACAGCAAAAACTGTTTAATTATTGGGCAAAGTGTAGCATGTCAGCCACGAATTTGACGGCGAGACTGCGAGGCAGACGCGGCGCTCGAGCCAAGCGAGACGCCCACCAGAAACCAGCAGCCGCGGTCATCAATCTTCACACGAAAATTTCTTTTGACTCTCTGGCTAGCCGTGAAACAAAATGAATTACTAGTTGGCAGTGGAATTTTTATTTATTGGCCAGCCTCTAAATGACTAAGAAAGAGAGTAGAACAGCAAGTACTGGACCTCAGACGAACGTGACTGTGAGTTGGGAAACCCCTCAAAACGATCTTTATAATTTAAAAATCCATAAACATAAATGATTCATTAAAATGGGGCTCGCTGCAGACTGTACGAGTAGGTCCGATGGGTAAGTTTCTTCGAAATTATTATGAGGGTTTACTGAAGGAGAACATAAAAAACTTGGGACACTTAAGTGGCTTATTAAGATTATTTCTGGAAGCGAAGAATTGAAGAAAGACTAATCTTTCACCAGAAATAAGGCTCTTAATCATTCCAAAAGGAATTATTCATGTTCATAATACTTTGAAATCTCGTATCGACGATTCTAAAACATTTACGAAACTGTTCTATAATTGTACAAATTACCTACACTCAGAGAAAAGTCTCGCTAATTTATAAATCTTTCTCACTCCTCGATTTGGGATAACACATTTTAACGGCTAAAGAGACAGATAAGCTGAGAAGCTCTGTACTGAAGACGCTCACACATTCATATAAATAAGTTGCCTATCGTTTCATTTGGCCATTCGTCCCAGCACCCTCCAATTATTTACTTGATCAGCTCACTGCCAGTATTTCCATTTACACGTGGCACGCGGAAATCCATTACTCACAATTTGCAACAATTAAATGCATATATTTAGCTTTAGTGCATACTTCCTTAAGCAGTTCCTGCAATTTCATGCCTCTCATATATATTTTTTGCTATACAGTATACATGACAATCAAAAATGAACAAGAGAAAAATGAGACAAACACCCGCACTCATGCGCGTCACAATGCGCCCAACTCTGTTTTGCCATTTACAGAAAAGCAGTTCGAGCATTTCCAGCCAAAGCAGCAACAATTCAAACCTAACAACTGCAGCAACAACATCGCTGAGCAACACCCACAGAAACGCGAGCAAAATAAGCCTACATGCAATTGTTGGCCATGCGACAGCCAAGGCACAAGCTCAGCCAGCAACTACAACACCAACAACACCAACAACAGCAGCAGCAGTGGCAGCAGCGGCATCATCAGCAACGTCGTCAACGCCGCCATGGCACAAGCGACTCTCGGAGCAACCTGACTTATATGGCAACAGCAACAGCAGCAAGCTTAAAGTATTGCGCGTGGGCGGTAGCGGTGGTGGTGGTGGTGGTGGTGGCGTTGGTGCTGGAGCTGACGTAGCGTCGCCAACGCAACGTCGTGATTTGGAAAGTTTCCGGCATTATAACGATGACGGCAATGAGAACGCAGCAGCAGCAGCCGCCGCCGCCGCCGACGATGAAGATTTGCGGTAAGTGCTCGAATTCAATTGAAATTTCTTGGCATTATTTGACTGGCCCTGCTTTCAAACGTTTCACAGCCTAAGTGCGCGCCATCAGCGTCGTCAGCAGGTCTCTCGATCGGTTTATGCGCCACCCGTGCCCGCGCCAGTTCCTTTGCAACGCTCACGATCCATATCCACGGATGATCTCAGCAACGACTGGGAGCAACGAAATTCCGATGAGGAGCCTGGCGAATGGCGACGTGTTAGCAAGCTTCGCAGATCTTTTCAATCGCATGACTATCATCAAAAGACAACGCCTCCGGTAGCTAGACGTCCTTTGGATTTACCTACGAATTCGGTCAGCGTGGCCCGCATGCGCGCCGAGCTGGAAAACGGCAGACGTTTAAACACAGCCATGCGCAATAATCACGTCGATTTGGCGGCACTAGATACTATATTGAATACCCCCACAACAGCAACAACAACAACAACGCCGCTGCTGAAACCTACAGTGGCCAAGCGCAGCACATTTCTAACGGCCGAGTCGCTACAGGAAATTCGGGGCAAGCTGAAGAAACTCTCAGATGAAAGTCTGTATAAGGAAGACTTTTTGGCTTATCAAGCGCGAAGTGTTGAGCCCGCGCCCCCCCTACCCGAAGAGCATAAGCAGCCACCAGTGACATCTGCCTTTCGACCCGTACATAACACGCACAGCCTAGAATCTCGTCAAAGACAAAAGGACACCAGCTCCAGTGAGTGGCATTTGCGACGCAAGTCATACGGATTTGAAAAGATGTCGCCACCAGAAGATAAAAGTATCTTCCGTGTGGATGCCTCCACAGACAGCGGGCTGGGACGTTCTGGTGAACAACTGGGCAATTGGTCGCCCACCGAGCGCAATGCCGGAGGCGTCACCAATGGCGGCACTATCATACATTTTGGAGCAAGGCGCCAGCCCATTCGAGGAGCAAGTCCCACAAACGAAGGCGAGCTGACCAAACGTCATTCAATAGCTGTGGAAGAAACCTGGCGTGATATGCGCAAGACCTCGCAGGTGCATGTGAACGGCAATGTGGAGACAAGCACCAGCACCATAACAAGTCACTTGCAACAACAACAGCAGCAGCAGCGGGGTAGCGCACAAAAGCGTGTTGAATTCTGCAAGACCGAGGTACACTTTGCTGCCGAGTCGGGACGTGTGAATATTGTAGAGACGGACGGCAAACCACCGCCTACGCAAAACTTTCGCCGGCGAAGGCGAACAGCGAGCGGACCACTGCAAAGTTTGGTGAAGTCGGCCAGCACTGTCAGAGACAACGTGACCCACTTTGGTGATGACACACAGCGTCGCAAGACCATTTCCTCCAGTACGGTAGCATATCGAGCCACTCTTATGGATCCACCAGAAGTGGTCAGCCAAGAGATCGCCAACAGCAGTGGCACACAAGTCACAGTGACTACGATGCCCAAGCCACTTGAGACCCGTTACAGCTTGCTGGAAAGCACCTCATGCAATAGCTATACATCGACTAGTGGTGTGGATACGACCGATAATGAAACGGACGAGCTATGCAACATACGCGGCATATTAAAGAATAAGCCTGTGAAGCCCAAGCCCTATCACTTGGGTGAGAACATCGAGAGCGCCGAAGTGCTATGGAGCGTGCCGCCAACTTTGAAGAGCGAACGGGAGAGTCCGCTGGGCAGGGAGTGCGGTAAGTAAATCAAACTTTTGGGAAACTGTTTCTCCTAATCACCTAATCAATGCAATTCTATTTTGATTTAATAAGCGTTTGATGGGAGCAAAAAGGATTATTTTAAATTGATATATCGAAATGAATTGCCGAGCTTTAATATAATTTTCTTGCCACCCACCAGTTTCGCCGGACGACTCCAGCATAAGCACCAAGTCGGTGGCCGAACGTGTTCGCATTGTTGAGCAACGTCAATTCGATACCAGCTCCAGCAACTCACAGCAGATTTCATCACCAGCCGGCAACGGCTACTCGACCAAGATCAATTTAAGCCTCGGCAATGACGACTGGACGGAGACAGGTAGGTTCTATCCTAATTGTCTATTGGGTACTCCTAATATCTAGTAGTGTGGTCGTCTAGTGCCTGTAGCTCCTATGATTTTTGTCTAGTTGTTATTTATTTGTCTTGTCTATGCGGGTTATGTTCTAGCGCTAGTAATACAAGCTCCTCTACTTGACTCAATATAGACTAGTTCAATCTACAGTCTTCATGTAATGCATGTCACAGTTATTGCTTCAAATCAATGCTTCTACTTCTACTAAGCTGCTAATATGCTTTTCTACATTCACTCACTCCTAACTCCACACCCAAACTCACTTTCTAACCGAATTAAACCACTAAATTGCTGCAACCCATACAACAAAACCACCAACAACACTTTCCGCACATATCCCATACAGATATCAGAACTGGACATCGTCGTGCCAGCGCTCAAGAGCTGCTATTGCAAGATTTGCGTCAACATCAGCGCATTCTAGATGAAGGTCTCAAGTCTACTTCGCTCATTATGAAAACAATGCGGTCAGCCAGCGAATTTGATGAAGCAATGCGTCGTCTGAGCATCGCATCTATAGAATCCGCTCTCATGCAGCCAACAATTGTGATTCCCACGCCAATGTTGCGCTCTCATAGCTATCAGGAGGGCTCGCAGACATCTCGTAGAAGCTCAACAACGTCTATCACCAGCAGCGATCTATTCGGTAGTGCGCTCTACGATTCGCTTCCAAGAAACATACCACTAGCCCCACCACGTCTCAAACTACTGGGCAATACTCAAATACCCGTGAGTCAACAGCTGACGCAATTGCGACGCATGTACGATGCGGCCGAGGAGCAGGAAGATAGTGCCGATGAGGAGGTGAAGCGTTACTTTCGTGACAACAACAACAGCGACAGTGGTGGAGGCACTCAGGACAGCTCCTCCCTCGAAGATGTTCGCATAGGCAGCGAGTATTCGAGCAGCTGGAGTCGCTTGAAGGCAAAACGTACCATCTGGAAGATAGAGGCGCAAGAGCAAACCTTCCGACGTGCAGGTAAAGAAGGCCACAGGGGTTGGGGTACCAGGTAGAGGAGTTCGAGCTTAGCGTCTAGGGCATGACAGGCAGCTTAGACTAAGTGTGCTGCTCTATAACCATACTTAACCCTTAATTCTACCATGTAATTCTATCTTGTAGACTTACCCAAATCGAATGTTATGAATATTGCCCTACATGCGCCCAAGTTGGAAAAACCCAAGCCCACGCCACCCACTTTACGCATCGGCCAGCTGGTGCCAGTTGCCAAGCCACGCACTCTATTTGTGCAGCCCCAACCGCAGCCGACAGGGTCGGATAATGCCGATGAATCGGGCAATGAATCGCTGAAGATTGTCAAAGAAGCTCGCGGTGCGCGCAAACTACGTGAGCATGAACTCTCCTACTTTGGCGTACAGCAGCAGCAGCAGCAATCACAGTCAAATTCTCCTTCAACGAAAATCAACACGACATCCACAGCAACTACTAATCCACGACGCACGCTGCCATCGCGCAGCAAACTAACACATAACGAAGACGCAGTGCAGCCGGCAACGACGACATTGACGACAACGACAAAATGGCAACTGCTCAACGATCGGCCGGATTTGCTTAGGCACAGTCCGCACGGAATCGAAACACAGCAGCAGCAGCAGCAGAAGCAACAGCAACAGCAGCCGCCACCAACTGTCCCCGAGTTTGATGAACACTGCTATGAGAACATTGCCAACGAGCTGACCACCACATTTCGCATTAAGTCACCATCGCCCAGCTATGAACGCAAAGCAGACTTGCAGCGTGATGCTCAAATTCTGAGCGAGATGACGCGCAACGCTGATCAAACGTTGAAGGTAGGCGAATAGCTGCGAATCACTATCTGACTGCCTCCTAATCTTCCCAGTGTAATGGTTCCGAGTCGGCCTATATTGACCCTTTGTGTGAGATACTTAATCACATCCCCATAGTATGAATTAGATGTGCTCCTATAATATATTATAACTACACAATGCTTTTAAGTCCTTAACTAAATGCAGGAATATGAAAACCAGTTTCCTAAGCTGTAATTGAACCGTCATTTATTCTATTGCTAAAATGAAAATCTTCCTCATTTAGGCACTCTCCGATGAGGCTGCTCTCAAGGATCAGCGACGTCGTTCATCCTCGCTGCAGCGACGCAGTGCTAAACCACTCGAAACCATAGATGAGAAGGTCTACAATGCAGAACGTCAAGCGTTGAGCGTAGCCCGTGGCACTTTTGCTTCCGAGGCTCGTCGTAACTCACGCCACTCCACACCCTCTCCGACACGTGCACGCAGCTCTTCGCAGTCCTCCATCGAGTGCTGTCCACGGGCTCGTTCGCGTTCGCTGTCCAGTGAGCGGGAGTATGGCCCATCTAAGACGCGTACTCGCTCCAGTTCACGCGAGTCCGTCACACATGGCGCTGGTGGTTCATCTGATGAGCAGGTGACAAAAACACACACCGAACAGCGACTGCGCACGCGTACCCCAAAGCGTGAGAGGTCGCGCCATGAAGAGGCGGAGCGTCCACGGCACAACAGCAGTAGCAGCAGTAAGCAGCGTTCAAGCTCAAATGCCGACCCTAAACGCACGCATCAGCACCACAGCAGCGGAAGTCGTAGTCGACATAGGGAGCTGGAAAATGGCAGCTCGTCCAAGCACAGCTCGGGAACTCGTCTTGTGCGCTCGTCGCGTGTGAGTGAAGAGAGTCGAGCGCGTGCGAGCGGACAACGAGCAGCCGAACGTTCGCGTGCTGGTGAGAAGCACCGAGAAGAGCTGACGCGCTCGCATGGTAAGTTATGGGAGGCCAGTGAGTGCAGCCCTGATACCAGACTAAAGGAATGAAACATATATGATGCTGCGTTTATGCACAGTTTTTTTCAACTTATTGCTTAAAGTCTCTTAATGAAATAAAAGGATTTTGGGTGCCAGCGAGCCTGAAGTACACTATTGATTACATCAATAATAATTTAATTCATTAAGAAAATGAGAAGTTAACATATTTGATTGAGATATCTTAAAAGACTTTTGTGCTTGCATAAAACGTAGCATATACATATGTGTAAATATATAGGGTAGATTTCCCATAATCCATTGCTATCTCTTACAGAATTACTTGTTTTGGGAATGCTCATAATGGGCGCTACACAGCCGCTTAGGCTGCACAAACGTTTTAGGTTAGCTCTGCCACATTCGTGGTAGAAGTGAATATAAATGTTCAGTTTTGAACTAAACACAACACTGATCGGTGTGGGCAACAGATGTGCGCGTTATCTCTATTCATCTAAATCAAACTTTTATTTAAAAAAAATGGTAATCGACTTATCGAAATCATTCGCCTGAAGGAGTATGTTAAAGTTCAGGGTTTTGCTCACGCTTTGTAAGCCAACTAAAGATAACTTCAAATATTTAGAAAATCTATATAATTTACAATTATTGTAATGATGCCTCATCTGTTGCTCCAGCCGTTGTACACTCTTTTTTTTGAAGACACCTAGAAACATTTACAAATGAACACCGCACCTGGCACTAAATTAGTCTAAAATTAAAAGTTAACTTCCGTAGCTACTGTAAATTGATTGCCTTAACTAGCCGTACAAATTAGCGCTCTCTATGTTTACTCATTACAACTCTACACTCTCTTCAATTTACCTTAAACCGCATTCAGGTCACTCCAGTCGTTCAAGACACAGTGAACAGCAACAACAACACTCGACAAGAGAGAGCAAACCGGGCAAGCCCAGTCACCACAGCTCCAGTTCTACACGAAATCACGAAACAACAAACACAACTACAGCGGCACACAAAAAGTCTACAACAAAGTCCACAAGCACAACGAAAGCCAGCACGCACAAAGCCCATAGCATTAGCAACAACAACAACAGCAGCAACGAACTGACGTACGTATACGTAACAAATTTAGCCAATACACAAACCAGCCAGCTTGAAACAGAACCAGCAACACCAACAATTGAGGACGACGAAAGGCATTATGCCAGCATAGATGAGTTGGTGGCCACGCCCACGCCACCGGCACCGCCGCCGCGACGCAAGCGCAAGCCCTCACTGATACCAGTGGCCATAAAGCAACAGCAACAACAACAACACAAACAGCCCACCTATGAGCACCGCACCAAGCTGGAAATGATTCCGCCCAGCTATTCGAATCAATCGACGCTACGCTGTCGCAGCTTAGCCAAGCGAAAGCCACCTCTGAAGGGCACCCAATCCACCAGCTCCTCCTTTGCCTTCCTGCCCTACCTGCCCGCCAAACGCAACTCGAATGTGAGTCATGTCTATGACAATTATCTGCTTTATGCGACGCCCAGCACAACAGCTGCCGAAAGCAAACTGCGGCCCTATCAGCATAACTTGATTAATGAGCATGCCCAGCTGTTTGGCGGCGGAAGAGGCGATGGTGCTTTTGGGCAACCGGGAGGCGGGCGCCTGGGCTTTGGCAAAAGGCTTCGCATGCGCCAAGTTCGCAGCAGCGTCTCCACACATCAGCCCTTCGGCATCTGCACATGTTCATAGTCAGCGCGGGAGAAACAAAGCCAAGCTATAAAAGTTTCTTTCACACAAATGAAACAACATTTGAAAAACAAAAAAGAGCACACGTTGCCCAAGCCATAGTTGGATAAATGGATCTCGTCACAGTCATACACTGACAAAAAGTTTTATATTTAAAAAGAAAACATTTTTTTAAACTTAACTTCTTGCACGCCAAGTTTTTGCCTTTCCTACTTTTTATTTGATTTTTGTTTGACTACCTCAACGCACAACGCACGCAAAATGCAGCACGCAACAGCAACAACAACAAAACAAAAAACAACAACAAAACAAACGAAAGTTTTCTCTAACATGTGTTCTTTTGTTACTAATACTAAACAAGCAATGAGGATATTTGTTTTGTTCGCACAAGGGCGCAAAAAAAAACAAACAAACAAACACCTACACTGAAAGCGAAAGTGGGCTTATTCTTGTGCCTAGCGCGCATTTTTCTGGTACTGTTTTTACTTTTGACAGCGTAAGCGAATTTTACCAAAGTTTTCTAAAACCAAATTTTTTAGATCCTAATCATGAATGATGGGCGCATGTTTGTATTTATTTTGTTTTGGGTGGCATGAGGCATGTAGTAGACGTTAACCGATAAAAATATCGTAAATTATTTTACTAATTCATAAAACATTTCCTAAATTAGACATTAAACATTAAATCAACGTTATGAGAATCCTTAAGAAGTAGCTATCCTTTCATAGATATGCAGCAGCGTTCAAAATAAAAAGGAAGCTAGTCTAAAATGCCTATGGATTGGTGTTTTAGTTGCGGGTGTCCCAACTAATCCAAATAAAACGGGTATTACAGAGATTATTAGACTTCTATTAAGTAATATTTATATCCAATACATAACTGCAGCAGATCGAGTTCCAGGCTATCTAACTGCTTTCCCAACTTATAGACTCGGCAGCTAGGTGGTCACTATTGTTAGACTGAAGAAAATACTCTATTTAATGTTTTTTAAATGAATACGTACGCGTTTTAGTGTAATATTCCGAACAGAAACGTACTTGTATAATGCGTCAACTTCTTTAGTACTTTATTCGGCCTTTTCTATTTCTATTTTTTTTTTTTTGCCAAAATAACTACACAATTTTAGTTTCAGAGTTTGGAACTATTAAATCTGTTTGAAAATCGAATCCTGTAGAATCAGTGGAAAAATGTTTGGCTTTTCTATTTAGAATCTTAATCAATATTTAATGTACATAATTAACACAAACTTAGATAACTAAATAATAGTTTGATGGAACGCTTTCACACTAAATATAATAATAAAGCATGCATCTGAAATACTAAATAAAATTTGTGAAGAAACTGCTAATAATTTCAACTAAACCTTCAAGTAGCACTCTACTCTAGTATCAACTCTAAAAACTGACTATGAACATGTTGCTGCAAAAAAATATATATAAAAAAATAAAAACCAAATATAGAAATTGAAATAAATCATCAACGAAATTGGAAGAAATGAAACATCAACATCGCTCTACTCTATTTTCTACCAGACACTAAAAGCCGTACTTTTGAAACTGGAACTTCGTAGATTATATTTTGTATATTATGTTGAACAAAACGTAGAAAATTAAAAACCAGCATAAAGATTTTCCCACATATCGATCTAATGTGCTCTCTCGTTTCCACAGACACGGTAAAAACGCACTAAATGGACACAACCATCACCATCACAACCACAATCATCACATCAGCAGCGGCGGAAGTGGAAGTGGAAGCAAACACCACGGACAGGGCCAGCAGCCCCATCATGTACACTCACTGACCACCACGACTATAGCGGCTACGAAGCAGCAGCGCGACAGGCATGGCAAGGATAGGAAGTAGTTTAAATGAATAGCAAAAGTGAAGAAAGAATGTGAAACGAACATAAACGAATGTCAAGCAAACGGATTTAAATAATAACTAAAATAATTAGACACTAATTAACATATTTATGGCGTGCTTTTAGGCGCTGACGAAAGCAATATTATGTGAACTCTTGTAATTTTTTCAATTTTGTCGCACTAAGCAAAATTTTAAAGAAATTACCTTAGTTGGCAAGCGCTGCGAGTGAGTGGAAATAAATACTAACTCTAACTAACAATTAACTGAAGAAACAACCCTAATGCGTGCAATTTGCAAATGCAGTTCCTTTCATGCCTCATGCAAACACACACTCATACATATTTAAAGTATTTCTCTGCATTCACACACAAATGTATTATCACCATGTTTTGGCGCCAACTCCAAATTCAAGTATTAAATTATGCTCTAAACATAAAATAAACAAACCACTCCCTTATGTTTACACCATTTTTCTGTATGCATTAAAACATATATTAAAATAACAAATGATACTCATAAATATTCTTCATTAGCAATTAGTTTATAAATATGTATGGCATACTATATATTGCGGATTTTACTTCAACGATACATTTTATATTGCACGGCAAATTTAGCTCGAGTTTTGTAAATTTTATTATTACTGCTACAATTTGAATTTGTCAGTTTCTATTTTGTAAAATAAAACATTTTAATTTGATACATTGTTTTATTTAAACCATTGCTTTAGCTTATTGGGGTTATTTATTTCGCATAAATAATTGAATTTTATATACACATGCTTGTATTTTTGCCCTAAAAAATGTTAGCTGCACTCTCTTGACAAGTTGGGGCGTTCGAGCACCCACAATCCAGCCCAGTTAGAAATATGTTATACTAACATACGGCAAATTCTGTGAACTGAGTTTTCTTCTATCTTATGTTATGTCTCTGTTATGTTATGATAACATTCTGTCTGCTTATTTAGATGCCAATTAGCTTATGCATACACACATGAAATGTTATGTTTACGTGTATGTATATATGTTAAAGAACGCATAAAAATTTGAAAAGTAAAAATCATTTAATATGGAGTTACAAAACAAGAATCAGTGCGTACTTACATTTAAAACATTTCAAAATTGGAAAACTTATTATTTCACTTTTATTTAATCACAATTATTACCACTTAAAAAACAAAACAAAAATTGAGGCACTACGCAATTAAATTGCAATCACATTCACTTTTTCTAAGAGTTTTCGTCAACTCCAATTACCGACGGCGCGACGCGTTCAACAGATCGAGCAAAACTAAGCTTTACATTGCTGCTGCCGGCAGATGGCTCTGTTGAAGAATTTAGAAGTAAAGGCAAAGAATCAAAAATCATAACGGTAAATCAGCTCTCGCGCCTGCCATGCGTGTGAGGCGTAGCACGTGTTTGGGCATTTCATGTGTTGGATATTTAGATTTAAGAAATTGTATTAATTTCAGATTTAAATGAAAAGCGCGTACGCACTTTTTCCAAAATTGCATTTAACTATTTAAAACACAATTATTACCACTTAAAAAACAAAACAAAATTTGAGGCACTGCGCAATTAAATTGCATTCACGAACACACATACACACACACATAAAAAAAATATGTATACCGCACGAAATTCGCGCGACATTTTCGCATTAAAAAGCATGGCCATAAAACATAATATGTGCTTATTATGCACATTTCGCACACAACTTAATATGCACATATAACTAAAAATAACTAATATGTTGATTTTACTAATATTTAAACTATTTACTACGCGTTTTCTAAGAGTTTTCGGCAACTCCAATGACCGATGACGCGACGCGTTCAACAGATCGAGCAAAACTGAGCCTTGCAATGCAATTTGCAACTACCAGCAGGTGGCTCTCCTGAAGAATTTAGAAGTAAAGGCAAAGAATCAAAAATCATAACGGAAAATCACCTTTTGGACTTAAGCGCCTCATAGCGGCTTTTCTATGAATAATAAATTTGTTAGCTGAGCCACCTATGAACATTTTCTTCCTATTAGGTATTTACACATTGGGTATTTATTAATTTCGGATTTAAATAAAAAGCGCGTACGCAGCTTTTTCCAAAATTGGATAACTTTAATTAATTAAAACACAATTATTACCACTTAAAAAACAAAACAAAAACTGAGGCACCGTGCAATCAAATTGCAATGAAAAAGACACACACACGCATACATAGAAAAAAATATGTATACCGCGTGCAATTCGCGCGCCTTTTTCGCATTAAACAGCATAACCATAAAACATAATAATATGTGCTTATTATGCGCATTTCGTACACAACTTAATATGCACATATAACTAAAAATAACTAATATGTTGATATTACTAATATTTGAACTATTTACTACGCGTTTTCTAAGAGTTTTCGGCAACTCCAATGATCGACGGCGCGACGTGTTCAACAGATCGAGCAAAACTAAGCCTTGCTTGGCATTGCAGCTGCCGGCAGAATGCTCTCTCTAAGAATGCAAAAGTAAAGGCGAAATATAAAAAGTCAACGGTAAATCAGCTCACGCGCCTGCCATACGTGAGAGGCGTACTGCGTGTTTGCGCATTTCATGCGTTGCAGAATATTTAGAAATTGTATTAATTTCAGATTTAAATAAAAAGCGCGTTCGCAGCTTTTTCGAAAATTGGATAACTTTAATTAATTAAAACACAATTATTACCACTTAAAAAACAAAACAAAAACTGAGGCACCGCGCAATCAAATTGCAATGAAAAAGACACACACACGCATACATAGAAAAAAATATGTATACCGCGTGCAATTCGCGCGCCTTTTTCGCATTAAAAAGCATAACCATAAAACATAATAATATGTGCTTATTATGCACATTTCGCACACAACTTAATATACACACATAACTAATAATAACTAATATGTACACATTACTAATATTTAAACTATTTACTTTACGTTTTTTAAGAGTTTTCAGCAACTTCAATGACCGACGACGCGACGCGTTCAACAGATCGAGCAAAACTGAGCCTTGCAATGCAATTTGCAACTACCAGCAGGTGGCTCTACTTAAAAATTTTGAAGGAAGGCACAGACTGGACTTGGACTTAAGCGCCTCATAGCGGCTGTCAAAGTAGTCATTTTCTGTGAATATTAAATTTGTTAGCCGCGCCACCTATGAACATTTTCCTCCTATTAGGTATTCCTTTTTTACTCAGATTGCGGATCGTGGCTTTTGTCATTCAGTGCTCGCATACATAATTAATTGTTAAATTATAAAAATGGGCAACAATTAGAAAAAGGCTGTAAATTATTACAGCTGTAATACAAAAGCGTGCTATGCGCTAAGTAGATCAACAATTAACAGTATTATTAAAAGAAAAGCAAAAACTACAAACTACAAACATACAGGATCGCAAAAGTATCACGATTCTTCTAAGTATCTATTTTTGCTGATAAAAATATATAGAAAATTGCTTTTCATTGCATGTAGACGATTTAAAAAGTTGCCCTGCTTACATACATTTCATGAACAGTATATAACAAACTTTTAATGTTTTAAATTATATCTAACAATCATTATGGCCAATAGACGCTCATTTTATTTAATAATAACAAGATAGAACGCTACAGTCGAGCAAGCCCGACAGTAAAATAGCCTGTACTCTCCACAAAAAAAGAAAAATTAAAAAAAAAAATTTTAAAAAAAAATTAAATTATTAAAAAAAATTAATGAATTAATTAATTAAATTAAATTAGAATATATGTTTATGTTTAGTTTTAACAGCATACATTTACATCACGTACCTATGCGTGTTTATATGCGTGTATGTATGCAGCACAAAGTTGAACCAAAGCAGCAACAACAACAACAGCTGCGGGCAGCGCTGCCGACAGAGGCAGCGCATGAGCAGCGATTTTACTTATGGCTATAACTTTCTTCAGAATTGACCTATCATGATGAAATTTGGCACACGGACACATTAGTACTAACTGGATGTACCTACCAAAATTGATTTCAAAATTCCGAGAATTACGGAAGTTATAAGAAAAAACACGAATTGCGGGGGAGTGGGGGGGTGCATCGAAAAAAAACTCAAACTCGTACTTTCTCGGTCTTAGGAGAATATGGAAACCAAGTTTGGTTATTCTAGCTCTTATACTTTCTGAGATCCTTGCGTTCATACGGACAGACGGACAGACAGACGGACAGACAGACGGACAGACGGACGGACGGACAAGGCTATATCGACTCGGCTTCTCATCCTGATCAAGAATATATATACTTTGTGGGGTCTGCCACGCCTCCTTCTGTGTGTTACATACATGCGCACAAAACTAGTATAGCCTTTCACCCTTTGGGTACAGGCTATAAAAACACATAATTAAATATGGAATAAGGGAATATTTAAATGTAGTCTTTGACATGAATGGGTTATGATTTAAATGCCTATTTGAAAATGCTAATGATGTGCTAAGTTGTTTACTATAAAATGTTTAAAATATTACGTATACGCCAGCCGGCACACACAAAAACCTGCACTTGAATAGTTTTGTTTCAGCTCGAACTGGAGAGCTTTTCTTTTAGCTTTCGGTTTAATTTTTTTCTACATTTAATTGTGTAAGCAAGAATTCGTGCAAGTACTTTTATCATTGCAGCATTGCGAGTGTATCTACACGGCATTTGTGTGTACCTACAAACACAGATACGTACATATGTATAAGTACATACTCGTACATACGCACACACATATGAAAATATTGATAAACCTCTGTGAATACGGAGCACGTCAACGCTTTACTGCTTTTAGAAACAATATTTTCCCGGTTTTTTTTTTTGTATGTACAAACCAGCGCGGGCTGCTCAGTTGTAGTTCAACCGTCGTTACCAACGCAAGTCACCAGTCACGCTTCTACTCGTATAGTATCCACCGATGTGAGTAAATAGTATGTATATATGTTTGAGCAGCTGACAGCCGGCTGGTCGACTTGCCGACTTGCCGACTGGCTGGCTTCTTTACCTTAGATAACTCGAAAAGTGTGCTTTTTCTCAACACAAATAGACACAAAAGTTTATGTAGAAAATATCAGAACGCTTTGCGCGGCAACTCATCATGTGTGAAATGTCAGCGCCCAATGATAAATAGTTTTGTGTAAGTCGAAGGGCTCAAATGACATTCGAAAAGCCGTTATGAGTCATCGGCCAAAAAGCAACGCGCTTTATCAAACTCTAATCTAATGGCCCCACAACACGAATCAAGAAATCATCGAATTCGAACAAAAAGTGCACAGGTGTTTATTTAATGTCATTGTGATAAGACAAGAAAATGATGGTTTAGATTTGTGAAATAACTTAAAACGCAAAAAACAGGATTGCCAAATCGAATGCGTCACATAATTGAGAGAGAGGTCAAGCCCATAAGCGGTTAGTTTAAAAATAAAAATCGAAATGCAATTATAACTAAGCCTCTTAAGGTCTGTGTTAAATGAGATGAAGAAATCGCTTGATCAAATAATAAATTTAAAATCTAAGCTTAAAGTTCTTCAAAGCAGGAATATGAATTCTCTCTGGGAAACTTAATATGCCATAAAATGTGCAAGTATTTTTGTTAACAACATGTAAGTAGAGTTGTAAGCCTTTTGAAATGAATTTGCGAATCACAAAATTTGTGTAATTTCGTTTGCATCTGCATTTAACGAAATGGCTTTAAGTTGTATAGCTAATATTTTTAAAATGTTACTCTGCTTTGCATCTAACTAAAAGAATCATGTAGGATTTTGTAAGGAAAACGATTCATTTACAAAACATTTTGTGTACAAATTTGACGACCTTAACAAAAAATTTCAATTATTAAATATTCAATAATTTAAGCTTGAGAAACCTGCTTTCCATTGCAATTACATGCATAATTTCTCACATAAGTATACGTACTTGTATGTAGCTATATATAGCTCAGCGTTAATATTTCAGTAGCCCAGAGACACAAACGAAGCTCTGACCATATGTGCTATGTACACGAAAGCCACGTCCCGACAATAAAAAAAAGCAAAATAAATAACAACACAAATATTGATGGTGTTGGTAAATAACAGCAGTACTAGAAATATGCCATTGGCTAACAGCAAACACAATAAATCAGTCAGTCGGTCAGTTTGGCGAGAGAGCTAATCTAATTGACAAAGAAAATGAGAGCGAGCCCATTGATAAGAAAAGACAGATATCACTCTAAATACCCTCGCAAAAGGGGTGTAGTAATTTTGTAATGAGACACGTAATGCAAAGAAATATATATCGATTATAGTAATGGAAAATCAGCACAACTAGTTGACTAATTGGTTGTCTATACAAACAGCCGTCCAAAAGATAAATTGCATTTATCTGAAGTATACGCAAAGTTTGGCTGAAGTTTTCATGGCAAAATTTAAAGAGTAATGAGAAGAAGCATCCACACATATTAGAATGTTTGTTACAGCTTTTATATACATATATCTGATTCTTACAAATTACGATGATCGTTGTAACCAATTGCCAAACAGTCAGCACTATGTGATTTATTAAAGGATATATGTTTCCTAGCTTTTATTATTCTGATTGACTGGGTATAAAGTTATATCGCAAATAATGTTTGAAAAAAGAACATCCGAACACTCTACGATGTGGAAATTTGGTTTTTTTAAAGCTCTACTTTCTGTTAATTTGTAAACGTGAATTTTTTGTCATCGTTATGTGATACAATGCTTTTATTTGAAAAGTCCCAGTCCCAGCGATATGCAAACCGATGTAGATTCTACTCTGGAGAAGACTGTTTCTTCGTTTGGAAGAGATTAATTGAGACCCATTTGAAGCAAAGAAAACTATGCACAATATATATAAGATAATTTGTGTTGAAATGATTAATATTTGCCAGTTTTAGATCCCTCGGATTATTTCCTGTTTTTAATTAAGACATAGAGTCTGCAGTTCATAGCTATCTTGAGAGCTGGAAGCTTTTCATTATAAACTGGGTATTGAAGCTATTGAGCATCACTGGGAAAGGTGTAGCAAGCTAAAAGGGGACTCTGTATAGAAACCATAATAATTTTTCCCAAATTTTTATTTTTTTAAATGTTAGCTTGGATTCTACTTGGATTACTTCTTGATAGAGTTAGCTCTTGGTTGACATTCAATTTAAATATTATAAGTATATACCCATATCTAAAATCAATCGTCAAATATTTATAGTAGATGTTTAGTTCACTTGCGAAGTTTAACCCTTTTGCCAGACATTTTTTTTCTGCAAATCCCGCCAATAAAATTGGACGCATTAATTCATCAGCTGCAGTCTATAGGTGATATATGGATGAAATATATGCTGCTGCCTGCTGCCTATCTTATCACACAGCGCATGCGTTTATCTCCCCAGCTTTTGTTCCCAGCTCTGGGTAACAGACCCGCCTAGTAGCTGACCAAAACATTAAACAAAGCCAGAATGGTTCGCCCTATCGTTTTTACTGATAAGACAACGAAACTGAACAAAAAAAAATTGATTAGGCAGCGGTGCTCCGAGTGGGCCAATTTTCAGTTCAGAAAGCTCTTTTTATTAACATTCTAATAGTATTTCAAGGCGGTTGTGTTGATTTTAATAGAGCGCCATTATCGCAATTTGTTTTAAATTAATTTTATTTAGCATAACATTTTGAAAGGTGTAAATATTTGCTCAACGATATTAAAACTGCCCCTCTAAACATTTTTCTATTGCAGCATTAGAAATTAAACAAACACAATGTCGCTACTAACGGGCAGCGCCAACGCGATCAAATACACGCTATATGGATTTAATCTGATATTTTTGGTAAGTATATGGAGATATGTAGAGTCGCAGGACATTTGATTTTTATGATCTGGAGGTGATTCATGCATTGTCGAAAGTTCAGCTATTGTGACAAGTATTTACGAGAAATTGAGCGGCCCCTGCTGATAAGATGATTAGAAAAGTGGTCATAAAAACAAAATTAAACACAAAGAGCATTTCGGCCACCTGTGAAATAAAATTCAATTGTTACAACGGATTTGGGTTTATGAAAAGTAAACATTTTTAGTCTGAATTCAGTCTGAATTAATGCTTTATATGGCGAACACTATATATTATAAAATATGTTTAAAAAAATTTAGAAAAGGCTGACAAGAAGTCAAGAATAGAGCACAATTTTTTCAATATGTTGGCAGCCATTTCAGATCCACTAGACATGTGAGATTGCAATCGAATTCCTTAGTAATTATCTTTCAGAAATGTAAAGTCAATTAGATATTACTTCAAATATAGATTATTTAAAGGAAAATATATTTAATATATTTAATTTTTATTATATTTTTATTTGTAAATATTCTGAGCATTTATGATTTAGAATAGAGAAAACTTTAGAGACATGAAATTTTCCTGTTATTTTTTCAAAAGTTTAAACGAAAATTACAAAGAAATGTAGATACTAGATATGTTATTATATATTTTACTCCCAACTCATCTAAAATTATCCATGACTTTATAGATAGTGCATAATTTCTAGGATACTTCACAAAGTACCTTTAATGGGTTAGTAATAATTTTAATTTCACTACTGTTAGTCTTTTTTGTTTAAAGAAACGAGTATAAAACCCTTGGCGGCATTTTGTCACATTTTGCGTAAATAATTTAATAATGATATCTAAATAATGCGCCACTACAACATTCTTTAACACAAATATCTACTAAAATAATCTTATCTCAGGGGGTTAAAGCTGCCAGAAGGCCAAAAATTGAACTATCAAAACGTAAATTTGCCTTTAAAGAAACACAATTTGTAGGCAAATACGTGTATATTTATTTAAGCACTTATATATCGCTATCTGTCTCCCTTTGTTTTAACAGTTGACTGGCATCATACTTATTGCGGTTGGTGTCGGCGTTGGCGCCGTTTACACTGGCTATGAATTGTTCCTTGTTGGAAAGTTCTTCTCCATACCCACATTCCTGATTGTAATCGGTTCGTTCATCATTGTGATTGCGTTCTTTGGCTGCTGGGGTGCTCTGAAGGAGAACTACTGCCTGGTGCTGAGCTTCTCGGTTATGCTGGGCATTATCTTCATCCTGGAACTATCTGCTGGCATTAGTGGCTATGTTCTGCGGAATGATGCCTACGACTTGATATCGAAACAACTAAGCTCCACTCTAAAAGATTACAGCAACACCACGCAGAGTGACACAACCGCCCTTTGGGACAGTATCCAAAGAGATTTCGACTGCTGTGGAGTCACAAACTACACCGATTGGAGGGACGTGTTCGACTCGGACCAGTTGCCCCTTTCCTGCTGTACCATACCTGTGGGCACAATCGGCACCTTCACTTGCGATGACACGATCACGAACTTGAACCGCAACAAAGGCGGCGGCTGCTTGGGTGGCTTCTCATTGGAAATTGCCGCACATGCTGTGAGCCTGGGAGCGGCAGGTGTTGTCATTGCCGTGATACAGGTGAGAAGACCTCAAAAAGAAGAGGAAGAAGTGCTCAGCATTTTTGATTTGTGACCACACTTCTCTTTGCAGTTCTTTGGCGTCATCTTTGCTTGTTATATCGCGCGAGAGATAAAGATTCGCAACGGCATTACGGGCTTTATGTAATCGGGGCCTAGTTTAATGTTAGTCGTGGAACAAATGGATGAAATTCAACGCTTAAATTCTTTCTTTGTAGTATCCCTGTGAATTTTCGTGCTAAATTATATTAATTATGAATTATTTCAATACTAATAAATGCAATTTAGCTTTAAGCACAGCCAAGTTTAAATTACAAAAAGATCGGGCTTTGGTGTTTCAATACGTTTTGAAGAATTAATGTATTCTCTGTTTGGGTGGAAGAAGCATTTATTTAAAAAAAAAACGTTTTTTTAATCGTAAAATTTTTTTCTTTTTAAACTGAAAGACTCCTCTTTCAGCCACAGTGACGTTTACTTCCGATTTTTCGAATACTTCGTTAAACCAGTCCTTATGATAATCATTATCCTAAGCAGAGTTTTTTAAAAAGTAGTAAGATGCTGCCATTTTTAAGGAAAAAGCCCTTAAAATAGGCGTTTAAAAACCATATGAATTATTTGCGAAAACACTTTCTATAATATCTGCATTTGAACATCTGCAAAACTGTTTTCAGTCGATAAAGTTCAGCTTACGAATCATCCTAAAAAAACTTTAATCTTTACAGAGTATTTCACTGTCGGGCTTTCTCGACTGTAACAGTCCCTTTGGTATGTGTAAGAGAAATTGATTATTTGTATATACGAAGTATATTTTGTAGATAATATAATATATGTACCTATTCATAATCACACACAGAAAGTCTGAGTGCCAAATGCACTTAGCAGACCATGTTATAGATAGAAATATGATTAGCGTGACAAGAATCCATATAGACCTGTCCGCCCGTCCGTTCGTGTGAAAACTGATCATTTTCCAGGCAAACCTCGAAGTAAAGGCTTGGCCAAGTTTTTTAAAAGCCACATACGAGTATAGAATCATCATGGGATCTAGAAACTCTCTTATTTTTGAACAAAAATTTGAGTTCTATAAGTATTTATGCCTCCTCATAGCCAGAAGAACAACTATTAAACATATAAAATTATTTTAATGAAATTTAATACTATATATATATTATATAATGACTCACTATAAACTGAAGTCTTATATATTATACATACAGCTGTAATATGAACGATTGGTGCGACAAAGTTGACGGACTGTGACGGGGAAAAACAGGTATAGGATATAGTTTTTTTTTTTTTAAATTGCGATTTCCAATGCAGGTTAAAAGGGAAAGAAACCACTTCTGTGAGTCCAGAAGCCGCATTTCATTTAGCTTTGAGTTCCAGCTATATATTAAAAATTCCCACCTACGTCCAACAACATCGGCAATTTGTTGTTGGTATGAATAATTTAAAGTGTTCAGTGATTGCAGTGGGATTATAAAATCGATATTTGTACCGAACGCGAGTGGGTGAGTCAGAGTCGCGTGCTGAATCAAATGAAATCGATATAAATTCTATGGCAAGGTCAGACAGCCTTGACATGTACTTGAAAAGCAAAGTAAATTGCGCCCTAAAGAGCATTGGGAAGACGTCATGGGACTATGGGACACTATATATCGAAAGTCGTCACTTATTTCGTATAATTGCAAAAAGCTGTCGATTTCGGTACTTTTAGGCAACGAACCAGGTTACAGTTCTTATCGCTTGCTTTTATTTGCTCGGGGGGAAATGAACATTTATGGCTGATAAGTAATTGAAACGTTGGCCGGAGAAGGCCAGCCATATGAGAGTGTGAGAACGCCAGAGGGCTACTGAGAGAGTAATATTGTGACATCTGTGCGAACGACGGCGCGAAATCGGCCGAGAACTCTGGGCCCTGTTGCGGGCCAATCGTTCAGTTTACGTGGAACTGGCAAAAGTTAAAGTACAAGTACGTGCTGCTTGCTCCGGCAAGCGAAATCCAATTAAATACTATACGGTGTTATTAAGTATATATATATATATTGCAGCAGACTGACAACTGCGAATCGAACAACATCAGGAAGAACAACAAGAATTTTAACAAAATGGCCACTCGGGATTTGCAATTGAATTCCGGCATGCGATGCGCCAAATATATGCTCATCATAGTGAGCTTTATGTTTGCGGTAAGTTTATGGTTTGGAACTAAAATTAGGAGCCCTACCTATTACATAGTTTTGAATGATTCATGGAACGCAATAGCCGCCATTTTGTTTTCGAAGTTATTCATATTATCAAATGTTGATAATAGAAGCACTTTGCTTATCAGTTAGACGCAATTCTATGAATCATTTGACTCGTCCGTAAAACGATATCTATGCCGAGAGAGTGAGCAACGGAGAGACAGAGAGAGAGAGAGAGCGCGAACGAATGGCAATCGGAGATAGAAAGAGAATATCGTTAAGAGAAACAGGTCAAGTACAACGGCCCTTTTAGGCTCAGCGCTGTTTGAAATGAAAACAGTTTAGATTAGTTGTTTGTTTCTGTTGTTGTCTTTTTGTCTTTGGTGATAAGATACATTTTTTTGAATGGGATTTCGAGTGTCTTTCCATGCACAATGAACCTGAAAATAAATTGAAGTTGACCTTTTAATGGGCTTTGGATTATCATTTCACAGAATCTATGCAAGAAAACTATTTATTTACCCAAAAATAAACAGCTTAATGGAACTTTTCTTCTTTGAATATCAAAATTTTATCAGTCTTATGTAGGCCTAGGGCACACTTTTATTGTACCTTGATAACCGAACAGCACGTGCTGACAATTAATTCTCTTTTGCAAGCCATAGGTACATAATTGGTACCATAATGCTTATTTGGAATATTAACAGAATAGGTTGAATAGTTTCATATTTATGCTTGAACAAAGGTAGAGGCAGAAGGAAGCATTTCCAACTATATAAATTATATACACATAGGTATATTCTTAATCAGCAGACGAGAGAAACCGATCTAGACATGTCTGTCCATCTGTCTGTCTGTCCATCTGTCTGTCTGAATGAACGCCTGGATTTCGGAAACGGCTGAGCCCACTTTGACCAAACTTGGTATGTAGACTCTTTTAGTCTAAAGGCAACACGAGTTTATTTTCTCGCTCTTCTTCTTCTCTATGCCTATTTTTTTGGGTGTCGGGCTTGCTTGGCTGTAGCCTCTTCTCTTGTTTTATTATTAAGGCAGCCATTACATTGGATTGATGATTGAAATTTAATTATTTGTTATGTTAGCGGTCAGGTGATAAAAGCGAAGATGAAATGTTTTAATCTATTACAGTTATGTAATATGCAAAAAAATTCATATTTGGGTTTTATGAATAACCCTTAAATGATGATTAAATAATATTTTATGTTTGAATGTGTTTATTTATTAAATCTCTTTAGCTAGTTAGATCCAGTTAGGGAATATATATTGATAATTAACTAATCCGTTCCATTATGCTGTATATGGTTGAACCTATTTCTTGATTGAAGCTCTTACAGCAACAATCCAGCTGATCTTTTTAAATATTTCATATTTCTTTTCAGCTCACGGCTGTTCTGCTCATCATGGTGGGCACCACCATACAGACAATTTATGGTGATTTCAGTGTCTTTATAGACGGACACTTCTCCTCACCACCCACCCTTCTGATTGCCATTGGTTTTATTCTAATTGCGGTGGCCGCTCTTGGTGCTTATGGTGCGATGAGGGAGAGCGTTATGGTTATTAATCTGGTAAGTGGAAACCTACTTGTACTTATACTGATTTGGTATATAGCCACTAATTGTGTTTTCAGTACGGTGTTTGCCTATTCCTGGTCTTTATACTCGAAGTGTCTGCCGCCATTGCCGCCTTTGTTAATGAAGGACAGGTTCGAGATATGCTGCAGCGCACCATGAATCAGGCATTGGCTGAATATAATAACGATGACTTGGTGAAGGATGCCGTCGACTACATGCAAATTGGCGTAAGTGAGATGTAGTGTTAGCCGAAACAGTTTGCTTGTACAAGTATAATTGCATTACAGTTGGAATGCTGCGGCGTGCTCTCTCCTGATGATTGGAATCAATACATGAATGCAACGATCGAAGCCGACGAAATTGAGGTGCCCCAATCCTGTTGCATAGAATTGTCGCCGGAAATATACGCGGATAATATGGTGAAGTGCGTTACGACCTTCAGCTACGGCTGTTTACCCAAAATGAAGTACATCGTCTCACAGAGCGCCATGTTGATAGCAACGGGCGCCGCCACAGTGGCCGTCGTCCAGTTTCTGGGCGTGCTTTGCGCCTTCATGCTGGCCAAAACGTTGCGTCGCAACAAGTCTATACGCGAAGCTCGTCGCTGGCAGCTCCAGCAAAGCCTGGGCGTGCTCATCTCTGGTGGCAAGATGGCACCACCCGTCAACTCCCCGATGACGGGCTATCACCAGCTGGAGAAGAACGAGTTTGCCACAACCGAACCCTACACTTACATGCCAAATAGTCCAAGTGTTAACTAAGGCGCACGCCTCTTCAAATGTTTAATTTAAAACTTGTATTTACGTAATCCCCTGTACAGCAATTAGTAATTGAATAAAGCTTGCCGTTCCACATTGTTTAGGACTGCTTGCACAAACCCATGCAGAAGTCCTTCAGTTGACGCAGTTGCTCCAAAACACACACAGTGGCCGTACCCCCGACCACATTATACTGCTGAACATTGAGGCCATAGTCGGCCACGCTCACAATATCAGCGCCAAAGGCCTCACAGATCTGTTGCAGCTCGCCCAGCGGCACTTCAGTGATGCCGACGCCACGCTGCTCAGCCAGGGCCACCACCCGTCCAATATAGTGATGGGCCATGCGGAAGGGCACGCCCTTTCGTACCAGATAATAGGCCTGGAATAAAGAAGCGCGCGATTTAAAATCCCAGTAAATTCATTTACAGACAGCATGCCAACTTTGCAGAAGAAATAGGGCTGTTCTTGACGGGAAGCATACTTGTAGTTTAAAAAAAGCTTAAATGTTGGCAATTGAAAAAAAGAGGAGAAAAAGCTAAGTGTATTTTTGAAAAAGCCAGAATTACCTTAATTTTCGCTTCATATTTCGCTCAATTTTGGAATTTTTTACGTAATTGGATTTCAAAAACAACCAAATTTAACGGGAAAAAGCCAAATTAGAATCCCCAAGCTATGAGAAACAAATACGATATTATTTTATAGAATAGCTTTTGTTTCTAGCAGCCATTATTACAAAGAATTTATTTACATACTATATTAAGAAGAAGACTAAGCCTACATATGACAGCTATATAAGATAATGGGACTATATAGGGTATGGATAATAGCAAATACTGGGTCCCCTGCTATTATGGTTCAAGAGATCTTCGCCATACTAACTAATAAACGTCAATGGCTATATTGAATCGCTTTGCCAAACAGATGGAACATATAAAATATATCCCATCTTCTATGCCTCCTTTTGCCCGTTACATAAACATATTGTAGAAAAAATTAGATGGAGAAAAACTCACCCAATCTGTGGCTAACATGTCCGTGCTTAGGGCAGCTTCCATTTGATGTCTTTGCACCTGCATGGTGCTTACTACGCCCACAGCTACATCCAAGCTCTGCGCTAGCTTATCGTGAGCCTGAAAGCAATATTGCTTATCGAATTGCAAGTCCTTGTTATAGGTGGATGGTGTGCCCTTAATTGTCATCATAATGCCAGTCAGATTGGAAGTAATCAAGCCAGAAATGCCGCGAATAAGCTCCAAGCTATCGGGATTACGTTTCTGTGGCATTAAGCTGGAACCGGTAGCGAAGCCGTCCGCTAGTTTTATAAAATCGAATTCCTGAGTGCTGTACAGTATTAGATCCTCGGCAAGACGCGATAGATGCAGGCTAACCAAGGAGCAGCAATAAATGAAGTCCACTGAAATAATTTAATGGTTTTATATAGGGAATTATAGCGACAAAAGCAAATTAATTATTCAAAAAAGCAAAAACTCCAGATTCGAGATATTAACAAATATAGATTATATATAGATTAAGCTACCTTGTGCAGAAAGAAATTTCAGAGATATTGCTTTTATCCAAACTTCTTCATAAAAAAATATACCTCTGTTTCCCAGCACCAAACTTGGAATGGCAGGATCAAAATAAGAATAGGAATGGGAAACGGTAAATAGGAATAATGAAATCAGGCTTACAAGCTCCTAAATCGTATGATATTGATTACTAAAAATTAATTTTTAATTGTTATTCGACAAGGTTTGAACAAAAATAAAAAACCATTTATACATTTCGAAGACAAAAAATATTTATATGCCTATCAAAATATATATATATAGTTGTAGAATTATTTACTATATGCACTACTCGTAATAATAAAAGTTCTCTGCAAATAAGCTCAGTGTGAGAAGATACAATTGAAATCAAATCATATTGTAGGAATAAACACCTGCAGATGTAGAAACATATAGATTAAGTCATCCTATACATATAAATATTATGTATATTTTGTTTATATATGTATGTCTTGACTTTCGCATCCCCTCTTTAATAATTCGTTCGTTGTTAAACAGACAGACCGACCCTGATCTATCAATTGACTCTCTCAAAATAGCTCAAAATTATATATACAAGTAAGTATGTGCGTCTCAAATCAGTTGAGTTATTGCATTATCTTTTGACTTACCCACAAAGTCGCGATCACCCACCGCATGCATGCTATTTGCGGTTACTCCAGAGAAGCCCAATCGCTCGGCTAACCACAGACGATCAATGCCCAATGGATTGCCGGCCAGAGCGCCACTGCCCAGTGGCATAACATTGGAGCGCTCCCGCAGCTCCACCAGCCGCAGACAGTCCTCTCGCAGGGCAAAGGCGTGGGAGAGCAGCCAGTGGGAGAACTGGACGGTCTGGGCGCGTTGCATGTGCGTGTAGCCGGGCATAAGAATGCCCAGATGCTGTTCCGCCTGCAGCACGCAAGCCTCAATCAGCAGACGCAGCCGTCCCAATGTCTCTCTGTTGGCCTTGCGCATCCACAGCTTCATGTCGGTGATCACCTGATCGTTGCGACTGCGACCCGTGTGCAAACGCTGTCCCAGCTCGCCCGTAATATTCACCAGCAGGCGCTCGTTAACCGTATGAACATCCTCATCGCTGGGCAGAAACTTGATGCTGCGCTCCACCCAATCGAAACGAATCAGCTCCAAGCTCTTCACAATCACATCACAATCGGCGCTGTTCAGGTAGCCTGCACGCTTCAGTGCCTCTGCATAGGCCTTGCTCGCATCCAAGTCGTCGCTATAGAGACGCGCATCGTACGGCAAACTGTTGTTCAGGGCTTGGAGAGCTTCGTGGGGTTGACCGCTAAAGCGGCCGCCCCACAGTTGATGCGTTGGCTTGCTTGTGGGCAGCTCTTCCCGATGTTGTTGTTGTTGTTCTTGCTTTAGCATCTTTGTTTGTTGTAGCGCCATTGTTATCTTCGAAGTGCACAAGTCAGACTGACACGCACTCGGCCGGTAGCTGTTGTGAAAAGTTCACAAGAATTTGTTTAAAACAAACTATCCCATCATTTCTGTTTTTGTTGCTCTCCGTCTGTTAAAATACGCTCGCATGTTTAGCTCGATTGTGCAATCGGCTTATCAATGTACAACAACAAATGGGAATATTATTTTTTCTGCTTTATGTTTTTGTTGTATTGTTTTTTATGATTAGGAAATCAGAACGCTGTGAAAGGCAGTGAGTGGCACAGTGCCTTAAAATGCATATCAAAACCAACTAAAGCATATTTATATTTAAATATAATTTTTTTTTTTGGTTTATTAAGCTTCTAAAAAGTAATGCTCTATCTTAACAATTATTATATTATTATTATACAATTATTACAAAAGCTGAGGCAATTTTTATGTAACTCATTCAAACGATTTAAAATAAATTTAGTTACATTTTTAAAATGTATGTCTTTTAACTTTTTCTTATTTACATACGCCTTTTGGAACAAAATAATTGGATATATACCGACAGTATATTAATTATAATTAATATTTCCTAATGGTTTAAACACAAGGAGATTTATTTAAAAGCAATGTTTTCAGAACAAGAACTTACTTGGAACTCGACATTTGTTTTGGTTTCAGAAAAATTTAAATAATTTTCAGTTTTCAATTGCAGTTTTTATAATGTCGAATAATTTAAATGCAATTGAAAGAAATAAATCTTTTTTATATGGTTTCAAGAAAGCTGCATTGAATTCTGTGTGATTCTTGGGAAACTAGTCTCTGAAATCTTTAAATTTAATTCTAAAGGCCGCACCACTGTGCTTTGCCTAAACACGAAGATGTTGAATAGGGCGCGGACTCTCTCTAATATTCGTTGGCTGTTTTAACTTTAAGCTAAAGATAAATAGACGCATTCGCTGTCTTATCAAATGGTGTCTTCAAGTGTCGTATTCACTGACGTCCGAGCGACGCCAACAATGTAGTGGAAAAATTGATAAGAGCGTTGTCTTGAAACTTGTCAATATTTACATTGCTCATTTCAGATCCTCCAGAAAGAGTTTGTTTAGCTCCAAGCACAAGCGGTGCAAAGGCAGACCCATAACCGTGTAAAAATCGCCATCAATGCGTGGTATCAGGGCTCCACCAGGACCCTGCACGCCATAAGCACCGGCTTTATCACTAGAATGGGATACAAATAGAAGCCATTACAATACCCAATAGGAGCTTCAATTTTGCACTTACAGTGGATCTCCCGAGGCCACGTAGTCTTGTATCTGTGCCTCTGTCAGCTCCCCAAAATAGACGTCTGCCGTGTCCGTAAATGTGCGCACGCCTTTATCGTGTCTGAGCACAACGCCTGTGAAGACGCGATTGCAGGCGCCGGAGAGACTGGAGAGCAGTATTAAAGAAGCAATATTAAATGGGATTAGCATGGCACGCACTTGTTCAGCATGCGAACAGCGTCCGCCGCATCCTTGGGCTTGCCATAAACCTCCTTGCCCAGTGTGACCATCGTGTCTGCAGCTATGACGATAAGATTGGTGGAACCTTCGCCACCGGCGTTGCGCAAGCGGTGGAAAACCTCCTCTGCTTTGCCCTGAGCAGTTGCCTCTATATATTCGGCGAATTCCTTATAGTCCGCCACATTTAGATTCTCCTCAAAGGTGGAGGGACACAGCTCTGCATTGAGACCCTGAATTAAAGGTATTTTCAAACTGTTCCATCAAATTGTGTTGTAAGCAAAAAATAAATAATTCACCAGCATTCGCACGAGTTCCTGGCGCCGCGGCGATCCACTGGCCAGCACAATGCGATATTTCCCCAATAAGTGCTTAATTGGCGCCAACATTATATTTTATCGACCCAAATAAAAATATTTATAACCAAAATGTTTGACAACACGCGCGGCTGTGACGAAAAAACGCGCGCTTTTTCGTTCTGCAGCACTGCAACAGTCGCGGCCAAAATAAAAGCAGCAGAATGAAAATGGAGAAAAAGTAGTTACAAATTTAGAGTTTCAAAAAGGTTTTAAAAAGGTTAAATGAACGACACAATAATTTAAGGAATTATTTTTATTTAATATATCGTAATATGTTCAGATAAAATAAGTTTTAATCAAAATCAAATACTTACAAATAAAGAAATAGGCACTTCTATGGTAACATTTTTCTAGTCAATACAGTCAGAGTCTTCAGCTTTGCAGGATTTATGTTTAGGAACAGTTAAATTATTTCTCTGTTAAAGGACAAATATAACACAACAATTAAAAAAAACAAAATAGACTCGAAGGATATTTTAAATCCCTATTAGCTTTAAAAATTAATAAAACAAAAATATTGCAAAAGGCAGTTCCCCAAATTCGGTAATCTATTTTACTATTTATGTATTTAGAATTAGTAGTTCATAGTATCATTAATGTACGTCAATTAATTTGCATTAATTTTATAACATTTACCTTTATTTTGTCTGCAACTGTATGTGCGCTCTGCAATAAGCGATGTGTCTATCGAATGGCCAAACAGCTGTGCACAGCTCTCGACGTAATGCGTTAGGGTATGGGTAGCACTGGCAAAAGCAGAGCAAAGAAGAAGTTTCTTGTACGAGGCAGCGAAGAGCAGCTGCTGCCGACTAAAAATAAACCCAACTAATCTAGACTTTGTTGTGCAATTGCAATTAAACATTACAAGTGTACGCGCAACATTGTCCGCATTGTTGGTTGGTGTTTGGACGTTGGCACTGCTTGCTGTAAGCATTTTTTGTTAGAAAATTTCAAAAATTTGCATTGCCTGAGCGACGCGTGTGTGTATATGTGATGTGTGCCTGATAGTGATGCCCAGTGAATCACAAAAGTGACTACATTTTGAATTTGTGCGCTGCCGAAGCATACGGTTTTAATAAACCTCATAAAACTTAAAAACAATTGTAAAAAATAAAGTATTCTGTGTATGATAACATTTATGTAAAGTTTTTTTTATACAATTTGGCAGTCACTGTTTCTGCCGATCACGGTTTGGGGCACCACTGGCGTTTTTATTAGTTAGGTGATTATTTTTAATTCCGTTGTCGCTGCCGCGCCATTGTCGACTGCAAATTAAAACGCTGAAATCATCAACGGCCCGCAAGCTTTCAATTCAGTTTGACGGTAGCCATCGCATTTACCGTTAGTCGGTGAGCTAATCCTGGGCCGTAGCCAAAAGTTCTTCAACTAACACGCGCGCCAGTCTTGCCTTCCTTCCTACTTACCTTTTAACCTGACTACCTGCCTGCCAGCCTGCCTATTTGTTGTGCCTACGTGCAGCAGCAGCAACAATAACACAAATGCCAGTGTCGCTGTTGGAATCACCTTGAAGTGCCTGCCAAAAGGCAGCTGTGCTGTCGATTCTTTTCACTTCCTGTATTAGACAAACGGGACAACGTGCAAGTGTGTGTCTGTCTGTCTGCCTGTGCATATACTTGTTTATGCATGTATGCACATACATATGTGTGTTATCAACTTGCGCGCGTTTCTTTGATACGTGAGTGCGAATCTGCTGTAAATGTTTATATACATAACTTTGTTTATAATGTCTCGGCGGCAACATAATTGAGTGTGCTGCCTTTGTTGGTTCGCCGATAAAAATTTAATTGGTGTCGCTCGTTAATTGCACTTTGATCAATAAAAACAATCAATTAGACGCTAAACTGTCTTCAGAATTCCTCGCAAACTGTAATATATTGATGAACAAGAGTGCCACTAAAGTGTTAATTAATATTAAACAAACACTAATAATAGCATTTAGTATGAGTAGCAACAACTAATTAGCATGTTCAGCTGATAGCTACAATATTACAGCAGCTGTGCCTCTAAAACTGTAGTCAAAGACACTCGCAGAATTCGAAACTGTACTCTGTTGCTATGTTGTCAAAATATTAATATTATAAAATTTTTATTTAAGCCATGCATCATCTACCAAAAGTATTTATTCTACATTCTTTCGAAATTTGAGTTTTTATTGCATCATTTTCAATCAAATGTTGATTCCAAAGCAGCGACAACTGTGACTACACACAGTTATTTCTAAACTGTAAAGCTTGAGCTCCCACTTCCCAAAAATGGTATTGATTATAGGATTTAGGGATGTGTGCAATGCGTGAGGTGTGCATGAAATTCGTGATGCTTTTCCAATATTACTAACGACATTTAGATATGTGTGAATATTTAATGAATTTAGAATTATATTTTGGGTCTCTACAATCGATTTATGTCTATGAAATTGTATAGTATTTTTGCAAGTTAACGTGGTGGCTCTAAAACCAACACATAATCGTTTAACAGTTTGAGGAACTTCTTATTAGGTTTTTTTTTTGGCCTCCCAAACTGCTGTTAGTTGTTGTGCATTGTGCATGGCTTGCCAACAACAAGTCTTAATAAAAATTTAATGCGTTTGCATGTTGGCTACATTCAAATTATAAATGTCTCCCTCTCTCTTTCTGTCTCTCTCTCTCTCTCCCTCGCACATACAGCTCGTCGCGCAACACACACGCATCACGTGGCAGTCAGCAATAGCAGAAGCAGCAGCAGCAGCAACAAAAAACGACGGCCACAATTTTGTAGCTGAAAGTCACGCGCGCGACGCTCACGTTCAAGTTTACGCTCTCGCCCTCTCACTTTATTTTTGTTACGCTCAATCACAATGCTCTCACGACAGCAACTGATCAAAGCGACAGCCACAGCGGCAACAGCGACAGCGACGGCGTCGCCAAATGGGGATCAACTATATAAGTTCCTTAGGCAAATGAGCGGACCGACACGCAGCGTGACGTCATTATCAGAAGTAATAATAACAACAACAGAAACTACAGCAATACCAAAGCAATACGACCAACAAGAGCCGAGCGTATCTAGTCAAGCAACAGCAACAGCAGCAACATCTACGGCAACGTCAACGGCATCGAGCATAAATAACTTCAATGGAAACCTCAGTCATATTTCGCCTTTCTGTGGGAGCGGTTGCGGTCACGGTGAATCGAAGTCGAAATCGAAATTGAAGCAGCACGAAAAGCGCGAAACGTTCACACTGAGATTTTTAAGCAGCAATATCTTGCAGCAACATTTCGTCGGACTAGGAAACAATATTCAGCGTAACTTTCATACGCAGAAGGAGCAACAACAACAACGCAACGCAAAGTCTAGCAACCAGCCTGCAACTACAACAAAATTTGCCATGTCTTCACTGGCTGCCGAACCTCTGCAGGCGCATAAGCAGGCCGATGAAATGGCCGGTGGCAGCAACAATGCCAGTAACGCCAACAGCAACAACAACGGATTGGGCACATCCTGTCAGGAGGCCGGCACAACAACTACAACTGGCAAGCAGCCCTGCTTCAGTACCGGACTCGCCGAGATTTTGCAATTTATGGAGCTCATTGGAAATCTAAAGGTGAGTTTTGGCAGCCAATATGTGTCCAGATTGTAGCAACGAGAAAATAGCGTGAACCGTCCACATAATCATATGTTTTTTATCGATTTTTCCCAACCATACTGCCAGAGAAACAGAGAAAAATATACATAAGCAACCCACCACCCATATATACTCGTACGTATACATAATGTATATAAAACAAAATACTCACTGTTTTGATTCAGCGAAGAGAATAAGAAGAGCGAACTGGAAATGATTCAGAAACTCGCCGCTTAGCTTGCTCGTTAATACTACACTAGGCGTCGTAATAATCTGGACAAACACAAGTTTTTAAGTGTCAAGTGTTTGTTGCTCGTATTTTTGATTGTGAACATTTGAGGTGTCAGGATGTAATTAGTGAACGCTTTTTAAAGAGCTTAGTGTTGAAAAATTGCTTGTCTTCAATTAAGCTACAAGCTAATTGTGTTTCCCATGCAGATAGTAATTAGTATGCTCACGTATACGACATAATTGCCATGATTGTGCGCTTTTTTTTAATTTTTATTGTTCAGATAATATTCGGTTATGGCTGGGAGGATTTCATGAAAATCGCTTTATCAGCATTCTGTTGCCATTCCTGCTGTTGCTAATGAATTGAAACTTAAGCTGCCAATATAGAAACTCGTTTTTCTGGTCTTAAAAGGTACCCATATATGAATTGTTTGAAATTCTGGAAATATGATAATTATTATTCAGTTTTAAATTACAGTTTTTATGATTTGGTATCATATTAGATTAGTTTTATCTTAAGAGCACCAGATTACACCATTCCGCATTGCATTTTCCTGAAATTCATTGCTGATTTCTTATTATTTTCCATGTTCAGAACAAAAAATCTGTATCTTTGAAATTATGGCCAAATTTGATATATTTAGTCTTAAAAGCTAAGTTTTAAACTAACAGTTCATACTATTTGCCAGAAATCACACACTTTTCAACGTATTTGTGCCATATACTGTTGTTTATTCCAAACTTGATCTCTCAGCTCTCGTTCATCTTTGTTTTATTTATTCATTAATGATGTTTCAGTTTATTTTTTGTTTGCTCATAATCCATAGCACGGATCGCGTGACGCTGACGTTAGTTTTAGATATTTTTTCTCGCTATGTGGCATAGAGTGGAGGGCATGTGTGGGTCGTTGTCTTGCATCGCAGCGTTCAAGGCTTGCCATATGAGATTTAATTTGATGTTCAGACGACCGTGAAGAGCGTCATTTCTATGGTACTGGCGAGAAATTGTGTTTATACACAGAATATAAAATGTAATGTATAGTTTCGTAGAACAAATTTAGGTAAAACTAACTAATTTGCTATGCTGCTGATAATCTAAAAAGTTTCTTATCTTTTTCTAATTTTTGTGACGCATAGAAATTTAAATATTTCAATACTTAATTGTTGACTCATTAATTCGTCTAATTAAATATTTTAGTGGGCATTCAAATATATAGTACAGCACTATAAAAATTGATAATGTTCGCCCATTATTAAATAGGTTCCTCTTCCCACATGATTTTAAAAGTATTGTGAAAGTATTGTAGTATTATTTTAAATTGAATTGTTAATAAGTTCATTAAAGGTTACATTTTCCAAACAAAATTTTGAATCAAGACGCAGACTGTACCCAGTTGTAGTCGCCCCGTAACCCATATTTTTACTCGCTACAACAAAAAACAGAAACAGATATAAACAAAAGAATCCACACAAAGAAAAAACAATGCAAATTTCATTTGTTTTTCTTTTCGCTGTTTATTTTTCTAGCTATATTGTGTTCAAAAATTATTGTATAATTCTTACGACAGCCTCGAGAGTACGCTCCGATTCGCAGCAACTAAAGAGCTTTCATATAGTCGTTTGCCAAAAATATATACCAATAATATATTCATGCACAAGTAGATATAAACATAGATATATACAGATAAGTATACCTGCAGCAATTTTTAAAAATTGCTGTGCTGCTTTCGTTTTTGATTCGTTCAGATTTCTAATATAAAAGCTTCTAAGCATTTCTATGCAGCTATAACTCGATTGCCGCTGGATATCATTTTGGATTACTCTAAACAAATAACAGCTGTTGCTGCAAACAACAAAGTAATATTAAGCTGAAACAAATAAAGCAGCCGTCCGTCTTCTATGTGCCGTTGTCTGGCCAGTTAGCTATCTAATCAGCAAAACTAGCCAACATGGCTATATAAACATAGATAACTGGCAGGCTTCCACTGCCACTTCTACGATTGTTACACATTCGAACGGTTTCATTTATTGCTGATTCGATATCGGCACACACGTTTGACTGCCATAAAAAACCTTGGCGATTTTTACTTAATAAATTCATGTTCGTAAAACTTAATTGTTATTCAAACATATGCAACAATAATTTAGACAATGATTCTGGAAATGGAACTAGGTTTTAGGGTACCCGACAAATCTTACAATTTTAGAATTGCTTGTGTTAATTCAATGAATCTTTAATGCTGTTATTGTAGTTGATCTTACAAACTAGAACTAAGTCTAAGTTCACAATATGAAATTAATTGAAATGCCTCTTCGTTTATAATCCTCGTATTTAAGTTTTGGATTTAATTAGTCACTTGTTCTTTTGATACGATTTGTAAATAGTATTTAGGAAACAATAACCACTTGTGTAAAGAAATACGCCGCTTTGAAAAAATAGTATCCATCTCTAAGCAGCTTATTAGTCTTCTCTTCTCGTGCTAGTTATTATTCATGTAGTTTAGTCTCCTTAGCCTTACATAAGAGTCCGCAGGTAATGTCTTCCCTAATGCCCTCACTAGTCTGAAAGCTCGACTTTATTGATTTTTAAAGGAATTCTTATAAATTAATCCCAATCTCTGCTTTTGAATCCCCTTAATCTAACAGCAGAGTTCGCTAGTAACATTTTTCTGATTGTTATATTTCTTTGCAAACTATCTAAAAGGATGTCCTACATGTGTTAATTTTCTTAAGAAGCTATATCTAGATCTATAATAGAAGCTACTTGTATAATCGTAATATTCGAATGGGGATTATTTAGCGAATATCCACAAATGTTATTTAAAAACTAATTCAGTAAAGTGTTTCACCTCCGACATTGGAGGAGACATGCATTGTTGTTGGAAACAAAAAAACTTGGCGTTAAATCCGGAATGTCGCGTCGTTATCGGCGCAATTGTAATTCGAGCAGACGCTGACAGAATTGCTTGGTTTTGAATTATCATGCAATGAATAGAGTGTTGGGTTCGAGTCCGATGCATGCTCGTGAATTGTATAATCCCAGCAATTTTTTTTTGTTATTCCACTGATAGTCGAAAGAAAACAAATAAAACTGGTGCGCCATAAACAATTAAATGTGAAACGAAAAAACGCTGAGAAGGCAAAGTTCCAAATGCCTCACGTGAGCTAATAAAATGATTTTTTGCTGTCTAGAAATACAGAAATACAATTTAGCAAAATATTAGCGAAATTTCTGACTATATAGCACGTATATATACAATATTTAGTATATATGTACATATATAGCTGACAAAATGGGGGAGAGAGAAAGCGAGAACGTGCGCTAAAATATTGGCAAAATATTAGAGAAAAAAACGCATCTTGTGACTCTGATCTTAACCTTCACATTGTAGACGTAATAAGCACAATGCCCTGGTATATAGATATGTACAGATATACTTTCAATGTCGGGTACCTCTCGCGGTCTGACCCGCAGAAAATGGTAATAGCCAAGCACCTATTCTATTTTCCTCGAGCTATTCATAATAGAAGCACAGGCAGGCACAAGACGAGTAGTAGTTGTCTAAAATTTCCATAACTATTGAGCTACAAATAAATTATACAGAACATTTTGCTGTCTTCTATAATTCAAAACAACTTCTATAGCTTAATTAAATTCTTAAGAAACCCTTTTACATGAAATATATTTTTTCTCAGCGACATCCCGGGCTTGCCTATTGTATTTTTTCGTATTGACTTTATTTCCAAGCTGTACGAGGACAGTTATTAAATGGTTTCAGTTTTCTGACTGAAAGTTTATAAATATTCTTCATTAACTTCATGTTAGGCAGCCAAAGTAAAAGTTACCCTCTGCGCTATCTGCAGATATAGCCTTGAATGCAGACGAATCAGAATTTTTACCCAAATACCAACCAGACAGAACTTTGACTTTGAAAAAATAATAAATGGCGATAACAAAGGTAAACAAATCATTCAAAGGTAAACAAATAAGTCAGATAAATTAACATTTCTTTTGTGAGTAAAAGTGTCTCTCTCTCTGCAAAATCACCAAAAACAAGTTTTGTTGCGTTGAATGAACAGTTATTTTATGCACATCCAGTGAAAATTCAAACTAAATCTCTTTGCCCAGCAGTCTCGTAGAGTTATTTCGAAAGATTCAAAATAGCAGAAGATTTCTTAGATAACTGATTGATAAGCTTGTGGATTTGACGAAACCAAAGAATGAGCATTGTTTGGTATAGTCTAGCTTAGCAGCAAGTACTTATGCTCATGAAAGAAGAACATTTTCGAACTCGTAATATTGGAATTTGGAAAGTAGATTTGTTCAGCAAAAGCTATTCATCTAGGTCTACTGTAAAAAGAAGCTCTAACAACCTAAAGTTTAGATTCTAAACAATTGCAAATAAATTAGAAGTATTATAAAAAAAGCTGCTTAAAAATTGCATTATTTTTGTGAAATATTTCTGTTTTATTCTTCATCTCATTGTTGAAAAGGCTATCCAACGCTTACGAGAGCATATTTAATTTATCTTACTGTATTAAGTTACAATGCAAGCTTTTCGGTCTGGTTTAGTTATTATGAGTTTGTTATATGACTGCTATATAGTATGTACGATATGATAAAGAAAAATTGATATAATCCAAAAGCTGATTGATGTTCGCACGTTTATTGAGCTGCAAATCGCAAAACTTATCTCTCGTTTGCATAGAAATGAAAGTTAAGGTTGGGTAATGTATTGATAAGACAAACAATAGCTGCGGGACATGACGTGACTTTCATTCGGTTACAAGCAGCCAAAATCGACTGATAATATTGCTGATTAGTTGTATTTTATAAACTCTGCCTTGCACGCGCTGCCAATTTAATTAAGACTGCACAGAAAATCTATATACTCGTACACATAAATGAAAGTACAGGAAGAAAATGCCAGAACCAACGAGAAGGTGAATTGCAACAGCTGGCCTACAAGTTTTTCGCATACTCTTCTTAGACCTTGTTTACCGTTGCGAGCTATAAATAACAATCGGCGACACTGCTTAGTTTATTGATCAAATAGAATGACGACGACCTCCATGCGCGCACAAAAGTTTAAGTTGAAGGCCCCCCGTTAGGGTGCAGGCGTAATACCAATAACAAAATCAAAGACGTCACTCAAAGTTGGGAAAACAAAATCACGACAACAATTTAAACTCTTAATATACTATATATAGAAAACGCAGTCTCAGATTAAAGTAGCTGTAAGGAATCTATTATACTATGCCCAGTGGATTAAACAAATAGAAACAAACAAGCTAGACAAGATATTCAATAACTAGAGTCGCCATTGTTTCTATGGCAGCTGCTGAAAATAATGAGGCTATCTGTAGTATCAAATAAACTTGGTGCGCATTTTGGATAAGACAAATAAATATGCCATATTTTGAGTCTCCAACTGGTACGGTTCAAAAGATATTGACAGTCAGACAGACAGACAGCGCACTCCGCTGGCTATGTTGAGTAGAAGTGGTTGCCTTTGTAATTATTTCATATCTCTATAGCCTACGTTTTAATTAGACAGAGAGCATGTCAGCATTACGCAAGGCTCATTATTCAATAAATTATGCAAATGGCGATATAACAACCCCGTAATTATTTCTTATCCTCTTACAGCACACCAAACGTACTGGCTGGGTGTTGCGCGATGTCAACGATTGCGAATCCATTTCGGGTCACATGTATCGCATGAGTATGCTCACATTTCTGCTGGACGGCAGCGAGGGTCTGAACCAAATACGCTGCATGGAACTGGCGCTAGTTCACGATCTGGCCGAGAGTCTAGTGGGTGATATTACGCCCTTCTGTGGTGTATCCAAGGAGGAGAAGCGGGCGATGGAATTCAAAGCCATGGAGGATATATGCAAATTGATAGAGCCACGTGGCAAGCGCATTATGGAGCTGTTTGAGGTAAGTAATTGGTTTTTAAATAGTACCGCATTCTCTAAATATCATTTGATTGTATTGCAGGAGTACGAGCACGCAGAAAGTGCAGAGTCCAAGTTTGTCAAGGACCTGGATCGTCTGGATATGGTTATGCAGGCGTTCGAGTATGAGAAACGCGACAATTGTTTGCTTAAGCATCAGGAATTCTTTGATTCCACTGAGGGAAAGTTTAATCATCCGTTTGTCAAGAAGCTCGTCAATGAGATCTATGAGCAGCGTCAGGTATTGGCCAAGGCCAAGGGTGCTACGCCGCCCCCAGCCATTGAAGTGCCGAATATGGAGGCGCCAGCGGCGGCCCCTAAGTCGCCCACAAAACTAGTTAATGGGCATGGTGGTGTATCGAGTTGAGCATGAAGTTGTAGCTACTATTACGTTAAAATTGTATATCTAGGTTAGTGTCTAGTTCTGACAGCACATCTTCATGCACACACACGTACATATATACACACATACATGCAAGACACGCTTCTAATTTATAAGCCTAAACTAACAAATTGTTACATTTTAAGCCTACCTCGACACGCTCATAGTTAGTACGGATATATGCGGATATATGTATGTATATACGAGCATATGTATATCTCTTTAATTTATTGAACCCAAATCAAATCAGAAATTTTTAAATAACACACGTCGCGTCGTGTCGTCTAAAATTTGTTAACAACTTTTGTTTAGTTACAATTTTAACTATTTTAAGCAAAAAGTTCTCTGGATGTCGTCTTAGCTAAATATTGTACATAATGAAACAAAAAACTGTACGTTAGTTAATTAGTTTTATCAAATGATAAACAAAATATTTTAATGTTCATGAAACAGTGCGTCAATCGGATGCAAATAACATTTTATTTAGTGTGCAGCCTCGATATCAAGCTATTTATGTAAAACTAATAATACAGATATGTAATTTTAATTGTAATTGAGTAATTGTTTCGTCAAGTGCTTAGAAATTCGACTTCATTTGTAATTGTTGAATATTTTAATTGAAAATTTGTAAAACGTATTGGAAAATGTAACGAACACACACAAAAAAAACTACAACATTAAAAATATATTAAGGCAATATGATAAGGTCACAAGTAAAAGTGGCTAAAAGACAGAAAATACTTTTTTTTCATTTAAATATGGGAATTTCGAATTTGTGCTGGTTTGTTGAAGCTGCTTGTTTCTATTTCATAATTGTTCGTACTGCTTAGTAGTTATACTTATTTCCTAGTTTAGATATTCTCTCTTGCTGTGGAAGTTAAAAGTTCAAGGCATGACGAGGATATTTCCTGGATATTTGTATTTCCAAAACGCAACTATGCAGGACTCCTGCGAATTCTGTATTAGTTTAAGTTAAAATTTCTCAATAGCACGAACTTAATTGGACAACCCATTAACACCAAGAAAGTTCTGTAGGTACTATTCCAGGATACTGGAAAACTATGACGAGTTGGAAGAAATTCATATAGGAAATTGAAATAGACAAGTCCAACAGTGTAGCTGTGGTTCCGGAAAGAAAGATTTAAACTCTCAAACTAAATTTCCAACCTCTCCGCAAAGTTAGTAAATGAGAAATGGTCCAGTATAATTAATAAATTATTATTTTTATCAATCAATTTGCATTAAACTAATGAATCAAAGACACTAATATACCTTATTGAAATGCTTAAATGAAGATTTAAGCTACAGTCAGGCGTGCCGATAAATTGTGGCAAAATTTGATTTGCAGTAGTAGTATGATCTCAAACTATATTTTCCTTATTAGTTTTAATTCCAATAACTCTTACACACACTAATTCTCAAAGCAACACACACAGAACACTCGATCCAGTTCCCATGAACTGGATCTCGCTCACACAGGGCTGATACCACGATCACACCCACACTGGTCACACTATGCGCGCGCCATTCAAAGACGTTTACTTAATTAATTATTCTCCGACAATTACAATATTATTCAAATAAGAGTCTGCATGAGAGTCTAATTAGCTGACTACGTAACTACGCCTCTCACGTATGGCAGGAGAGCTGATTTACTGTTAGGATTTTTTACTTTTTGCCTTTACTGCTGCGTTCTTACAGAGAGCATTCTGCCGGCAGCTACAATACAAGGCTTAGTTTTACTCGATCTGTTGAACGCGTCGCGCCGTCGGTCATTGGAGTTGGCGAAAACTCCTACAAAACGTGTAGTAAATAGTTTAAATGCTAGTAATATGTACATATTAGTTATTATTAGTTATATGTACATAATAAGTTGTGTGCGAAATGTGTATAATATACACATATTATTATGTTTTATGGCTTTGCTTTTTAATGCGAAAAAGGCGCGCGAATTGCACGCGGTATACATATTTTTTTCTATGTATGTATGCGTGTGTGTCTTTTTCATTGCAATTTGATGGCGCAGTGCCTCAGTTTTTGTTTTGTTTTTTAAGTGGTAATAATTGTGTTTTAATTAATTAAAGTTATCCAATTTTCGAAAAAGCTGCGAACGCGCTTTTTATTTAAATCTGAAATTAATACAATTTCCAAATATTCTGCAACGCATGAAATGCGCAAACACGCAGTACGCCTCTCACGTATGGCAGGCGCGTGAGCTGATTTACCGTTGACTTTTTATATTTCGCCTTTACTTTTGCATTCTTAGAGAGAGCATTCTGCCGGCAGCTGCAATGCAAGCAAGGCTTAGTTTTGCTCGATCTGTTGAACGCGTCGCGCCGGCGGTCATTGGAGTTGCCGAAAACTCTTAGAAAACGCGTAGTAAATAGTTCAAATATTAGTAATATCAACATATTAGTTATTTTTAGTTATATGTGCATATTAAGTTGAGTGCGAAATGTGCATAATAAGCACATATTATTATGTTTTATGGCTATGCTTTTTAATGCGAAAATGGCGCGCGAATTGCGTGCGGTATACATATTTTTTCTATGTGTGTGTGTATGTGTGTTCGTCATTACAATTAAATTTCACAGTGCCCCAATTTTTGTTTTGTTTTTTAAGTGGTAATAATTGTGTTTTAATTAATTAAAGTTATCCAATTTTGGAAAAAGCTGCGTACGCGCTTTTTATTTAAATCCGAAATTAATAAATACCTAATGTGTAAATACGTAATAGGAAGAAAAAGTTCATAGGTGGTGCAGCTAACAATTAAATATTCATAGAAAAGCCGCTATGAGGCGCTTAAGTCCAAAAGGTGATTTTCCGTTATGATTTTTGATTCTTTCCCTTTACTTCTAAATTCTTCAGGAGAGCCACCTGCTGGTAGTTGCAAATTGCAATGCAAGGCTCAGTTTTGCTCGATCTGTTGAAAGCGTCGCGCCGTCGGTCAATGGGGTTGACGAAAACTCTTAGAAAAAGTGTGTGATTGCAATTTAATTGCGTAGTGCCTCAATTTTTGTTTTGTTTTTTAAGTGGTATTAATTGTGATTTAAATAATAAAAGTTTTCCAATTTCGATATGTTTGTAAATGTAAGTAAAATAATAAATGTAAATGTTATTACTCCATAATAAATAATTTTTACTTTTCAAATTATTATTTGACTGCGTGCTTTAACATACATACATGTAAACATAACATTTCATGTGTGCATAACATAAGTCTCTCAATTGGCATTAAAATTAGCAGACAGAATGTTACCATAACATAACAGTACATCTATGTTGTGTACATAAGGAGAAAGAAAACTCAGTTTGCTTTTGTTTGGTTTTTGCCAAGTAAAGAAATTTAATTAATAATAAAAGTTACAATTAACTTAATTAATTAACGACTGTAAAATTCTCTGAAGTTGCTATTCAGTTCGCTTGAATTGATCCCCTTTTAGACCAGGTTCCGTTATTTAAAACGCGCTCCTCATCTCAACTGGAAACTTCAGCTGACTAAGAACTGAGTGTCTGGAGATGATATCGAATTCTAATTGAGAATAGATAAGAATTAATAGCGTAGTTAATCAGTTATAAACTTCTCTATTTGTATTCATCCGTTTCACAACAAAATTGGCAGGATATGTGGGTGAAATAAAAAATCAGCCTATTCGATAATACCCAGTACTCGGGCCTTGCTCACGAAATCGGTTCTTTGCACGTACGCGCCGCTCATAGTACGCTGGCCTGTATATGCCATCCGGCCGTGCAGTACTCGCCAGTTATCGAATATCACAATAGTGCCCGGGCTCAGCTTTAGCTGCCACTGGTTCGCCTCCTCGCGAATAAGTTCGAGCAGGGCGCGTAGGCTTCCATGAAAATTTGCCATTTCCGATTGGGGTAGAGTGTCCATTATAGCTCGATCGTACTCATTGACGCGTATTTGCACGAATTCTCCGGTTACCGGATCGGTCTTTATAATGGGTGCCGTGTGACGATGGTGCTGTCCCGGTTCAATGTACTCGGCGGGCACTTGGACACGGCACAGTAACTCATATGCCTTAGGATTTTCGCGCTTTAGTTCCTGAACAACATGCAGGCCATCCACGAAGAAATTCTCTCCACCCTCACCATTCACATGTTCGATGCAGTGCAGAGCCTGCAAGCCTGCTGCATCACAAAAGTACGTATTATCCGTATGGGAGCCTAAGTAGAGCTTTGTGTAGGCCGTATCGGCATGATCCTTGCGATCCCCAAACGTCCAAAGCTCACCGAAAAAGGTTTTCATGATGGGAAATACGCGGCGTATGGCTAATTCCGTCATTGTGGGTGTCGGCGGCACCTCATTAATAAAGGCGATACCATAGCGTACCAGAGAAGTAACCAACGACTTGACCACGTCATCGTTATTGATCAGCGCAGACAAAGAGAAGCACAAGTTCTGTTCGTGCTTTAGAATAGTGCTACGATTCCAAGGGGTGTAGATTGTGGAGCTCGTACGACGGCTTATCAGCGCATCCAGCTGGGAGTTATAGATGTTGTCGATGTCGTAGTTGGCTTTATGACCATCGCTCCCTGAAATGAACTACATTGTTAAGAGATTGTGTTCGATTGTTGATATTTCTTTACTCACACTCCACCAACAACAACGCCTGATCCGATTTATAACTGAGCTTCAAAGCCTTTACAGCTGCTGGCAGATCGAAAAGATTATAGCGTCGCTGTTTTGTATCCGCATCCACACACTCCACACAACGGCAATGGTATCGGAGCCAAAATTCATCAACCTCCAGAATTTTTCCCGTCTTTGGATGCTTTAGTGAAATCATATTTAAATGCTTTGCAAAAAAATACCACGATACGACTGATTTGAACGGCGCTCGACGGCTAACTAAGCTGCTGTTTGTCAAGAACTCATTTATTATTAGTACGGAATGAGCATCGATCTTGACGTGTGCATAGGGAGATAAGCTCATTAGATGAGTGCGGTCGGGTAAACAAGAAATACACCACTATCAATAAAGACTGAAAATGAATGAACGAAACATCTGTGATTATAATCACGTATAGTTTGTTCGAATTACCCTTTTAATGTTACCATTGAAATGATTCCATTTCTTCAAATTTAAATTACATTAACGAAAAAATATATTTTTGTCAATTAATTAAGGTAGTATTACTTACAATAAGAAAAAAGTTGATCGCCTCAAGTCAAACAAGAATACCTAATACCTGTCTGTTTATATAAGTACCAGCTTTCAATTAAGCCATACCTGTTATTAATCCAAAAGGATCTTCTTTGATTAATTTCACATCCGCTTTTTTCACATAACAACAATTTACAAAATGTCTGAACTGCTCATTCAATGATACCCAGCACTCGTGCCTTGCTCATGAAATCGGTTCTTAATACATAGGCCCCTGTAATGGTACGCTCGCCTTTATAAGCGAGACGGCCATGGACCAATCGCCAATTGTCAAAGATCGCAATGGTACCAGGGCTGAGCAGAGCCATCCACCGATTTGCCTCATCCTTGATTATCTTCAGCAGGGCACGCATACTGGCATAAAAGTCGGCCATTTCCGATTGTGGCAGTGTGTTTATCATGCCACGATCGCAAACATTGAAGCTCAGCTGCACAAATTCGCCAGTTACTGGATCGGTCCTTATAATAGGTGCAGTGTAGGAATGATGCTGTCCTGGTTCCAAATACTCCGCAGCCACTTGAGCGCGACAGAGTAACTCGTAGGCCTTTGGATTTTGTCGCTTTAGTTCCTGGACAACATGCAGACCATCCACAAAAAAATACTCTCCGCCCTCTCGATTTACATGCTCGGTACAGTGCAGAGCCAGCAGGCCTGCTGCATCACAAAAAAATGTATTATCCGTGTGTGGATGCCTATAGGGCATCGTGGTGGGCGTGCCTTCAGGATCTTTAACATCGCTGTCGGTCCAAAGTTCTCCGAAAATTGTCTTCATAATGGGAAACACGCGACGTATGACTAGTTCCGTCATTGTGGACGTGGCCGGCACCTCATCAATAAAGGCAACACCATAGCGTACCAGAGAGGTCACCAAGGACTTGACCACATCGTCGTTATTGATCAGCGCAGACAAAGGGAAGCGCAAATCCTTCTCATGCCTCTTTATAACGCTACGTGTCCAGGGTGTGTGGACTGTGGAGTTTAAACGACGATGAAGCAGCGCATCCAGCTGGGAATTAAAGATGTTGTCGATGTCGTAGCTGGCTTTATGACCATCGCTCCCTAAAAATGCTGGACATTGAAAGAATATTGCGTTTGATTGTTGATACTTCTTTACTTACATTCCACCAACAATTGTTGTTCCGACTTATAGCTCAGTTTCGAAGCCTTTACAGCAGCTGGAAGATCGAAAAGATTATAACGTCGCTGCTGCGTATCGACATCCACACAATCCACACAGCGGCAGTGATATCGTAACCAGAAATCATCAACCTCTAGAATTTGCCCCGTTTTCGGATGCTTTAGCTCAATCATGTTAAGATGTTTTGCACAAATACCACGACTCGTTTGATTAAAGCGGCGCTCAACGACTGGCTAGCTGCTGGGCGGCTTAGATGCTTTTCACCAAAACTCGGTTGTTATCAGTCGTAAATGAACATCGAACCTGACGTGTCCATAAGGGGGCTTATCTTATATAATGTGGTATGATGAGGTATGATGGATGGGCTGATAAATAAACATTTTCCAGAGGCACACTACTGTCAAAACAAATTGGAAATGTGAGACCAAACATACTAATAACATTAAGTTCAATATTATTTATTGTTTGTGACCTGTGAGGTTACCAGCTTTCATTCATGTTGCAAGTTCTTTTAATAATATTGCGTTTTTATTTTGTTAAAAATTTTTTCTTTTTCTTGGGGGGTTTTTGAAGCTTTAACTTGTGCAGGAGATGCAGTTTCTAAGCAACTTCTGTCACTGCCATATTGTTTGGTTACTTAATCTGGACATTTCAGTTCATTCGATATTTCAATTGCTTTGCAATTGGCAGAAGCTCTTACCTGGGGACACGGTATTGGTCTCTTTTTGGTGGCATATATCTAAGCTGAATTCTTCGATGACTACAACATTTCAAAACAAAGCTGATTATCATGCAATAAAGACTTAAGGTTTCGTGTCATTCAAAAATTTAAAAGTTTATTCGCCAAGCACAAAAATATTACATGAACAACGTTAGATGTATAGTCATGTCGAATATTTTGTTGACTCCTGCGGTGGGCTGCCCTGCTTGTTATAAACTCTGAAAGGAATTAAAGAAAAACTGTCTTAGACTCATCGCCGTTGCATTTAAATGAAATTTAAATAAACGATGCATTTTTTCGTATACTTAGTGTGTACCTTCAATGACTATATATTGATTGTCTTGCGCCGATGTCTGATGCGAGTGCTGCACATGCTTTTTTGCCTTATCTGGAACGTATTGCCATTGATGGGATACTTTTGACATCTACTTATATGAATATCTTTTGTACTTACGATGCAGGGTTATGCTGCGCTCTGTCTCGCCCATCACATTCTTGGCAATGCACTTGTATTCGCCGAAATCACGTTTGGTGATAGGACGCAACGTTAGACGCATGACAATGCGATAAACATGCTCCACAGTCACAGACTCGTAGGAGCCACCTTGAATGAACTCCTTGTCCTTGAGCCAAAAATTGACCGATGTAGGCTGCGCCTCCGTTATGCATTCCAGTGTTAGTTTCTGGCCCAGACCCACATAAATGGTATCGTAGCGGGTCCAAATAGTGGGCGCAACTATTGGCAGAGAAAGCACGACTTGAGTTAGTTTCAGATTCTCATCATTTGTTAGTCCTCCACTTACAATTCACGACCAGCATAATGCGTTTGCTCACCGTCGGGGGCACTCCATTGGAAGCTATGCAGAGGTACGCGCCCATGTGGACTCGTTGCAGCTGCCAGAGCGTCAGATTCTGACCCTCCACACTGTACACCTGTCGCTCGTGCTCGGCATCGGCTGTAAGCCACAGCGGTGCATTCTCTTCGCGCCGCCATGTGATTGTGGGCAGCGGCACACCTGTCGCACTGCAGGTTAGAGTCACGTTCTGACCGGCGGCTCGCACCAAATCGTGACTAGTCTCGTAGTCCACTATATCTGGTGGCACTACAACATCCAAGTAGCCCATTTGGCTCTTCATGGGATCCGTGTTTATTTGGCACATGTACCTGCAAATGCAAGAGTTCAATAAACAGCGATTGAAGTTGTTAGGAAGATCAATTTTTCGGCTACCTTTATTCACGGCTTAGCAACGTTTTTCGAAAATATGTCAACAATTGTTCTACAACTGTTTTATTCATATATAAATCCAGCGAAATGCATGGAATGCTTTTATCCAGGAGTGGATGTTGGGCATTAAAGCCCCATTTTCACGATATGCTGTCCATATTAAATCTGTTTGTAAAATTATACAATTTTTCGACTTTTCTTGTCGCTTGAATGCAACAAAAAAATAAAAAGTCAAGTGGCGCTTAGTTTGTGGCAAGAAAACCTTTCTTCGTGGCAACACAAATCGTATCGTTTTTTGACGCGTTCTCGATATCGCACGCTTTATCCAAAAGCTGACTACTTTCTACAGTTCTGCAATTTTTAAAATTGTGGTTTCGTTTTTGTTTTCCTTACCATCCTCTGTCCGATTCGTGCACATCGCGTATACGCAGCTGCCAAATGCGATGTTCCGTGTGGGAGATGCCAATGCGATGATTCTTTGTAATCACATGGTTCTGAATGCTCAATATCGTCTGAGTGTCCACACGCAGCCAGGCAACCTACAAGAGAGCATATGCTGATGAACGAAGGGTAGTAGAAGACCATAAACACCCCATGCGCACCTTAAAGCTCACCAGGTCGTGGACAATGCACGTGAGCAGAGCATCGCGTCCCACGGGCACGGTTACATTGTTGATGGGACCACTGAATTTGGGATCCGCTGAAAGCGTAAAAACGGTGGTGGTGCTTAGATAAGTACTTGACATTTATGTGGGCGCTCATTAGGGCGCTAAATGGCGTGTGCAGAAAGGTTGGTGTATTGCGACTTTTCCAGCACCCTGTATAAAGCCAAAAGCGCTTAACGACCTTTGCAAATTGTTAGAATATTGACATTTGCAATGCGTTGCCAAAACAATGTTGTAGCCTGACAAAATAAAATAACAACGACAATTTATTTTCCTTCATATGTGCCGCTTGTGCTTTGATTCGAGTATATAATGATTCGTACTTATAATTAATTATGTAATGTGGTAACTAAACCATATTCCATCCATTTTTACAACATTTTAGCATTTTTTAATGAAAATAAATTACAATTAGATTAGTTTTTTTTTGTTCAAAAATGACTTGCATGCATGTATATATGTGACAAATCGGTTCAAGCTAATAAATATGATTCCCGTAAGCGTCAAAGAAGCACACATCTCCACTGATTTTGTTTTTAGTATTCGAGATGAAAGTATTTGCTTTATTACGATTCTTCTAAGGAACTCAGCAAAGCAGTTCTTTGGTAACGAGATATGAAATGGTAGTGTCTTTTAGGCTCTACCCTCTCGAACTTAAAGTCCAACTTAATAACAATGATTAGCAATACATAATCCAATAACAAGTACGTAATCTAGATATCAAGAAGTACGCGTATAATGGAAATAACGTAGAGAAGCTAAGCTAAAAAACGACGGAGGCGACAATAATGAGGTGACCGGTTGTGCAGGTCAACACATTTTAAAGATTTTCAATATCTTTTGTAATTCCAAAACTTCACAAATAGCCCTTAACATAGGTGTCTTTTGACTTAACTCGTTTCTGTTGTGAAAAGTTATTTCTTTTAAAGGTTGGTTAATAAAATGAAAAGTAAAAGTCTTTAAATTGAATAAATCGCATATAATAATATTTATCTATGTAGAACATAAAAAATTTAATAATAATAGCCATAACCGATTCGGTCTGCCTATTCGATGATGCCCAGAACTCGTGCCTTGCTCAAAAAATCAGTCCTTTGCATATACGCTCCCGTCATGGTTCGCTGGCCCGTATAAGCATATCGGCCGTGCAGCATACGCCAATTATCGAACATTACAATGGTGCCGGGGTTTAGTTTAAACTTCCACTGATTAGCCCCATCATTGACGATCTTCAGCAAAGCACGCATGCTGGCATAAAACTCTGCCATTTCCGATTGGGGTAGTGTGTTCAAAGTTGTCCGATCGTACACATTAATGCGCAACCGTACAAGCTCTCCGGTAATAGGATCGGTCTGTATAATGGGTGCCGTGTGACGATGGTGTTGTCCCGGTTCTATGAACTCAGCTGGAATGGGCGCACGGCACAGTAACTCGTAGGCCTTTGGATTTTCGCGCTTCAGTTTCTGAACGGCATGCAGGCCATCCAGAAAGAAATTATAACCACCCTCCCCATTTACATGCTCGATGCAGTGCAGAGCCTGCAGGCCTGCCCCATCACAGAAAAATGTGTTATCTGTATGTGGTCCCAAGTGGATCTTGGTGTAGGCCGTATCTGCATGATCCTTGCGATCCCCAAATGTCCAGAGCTCGCCGAAAATGGTTTTCATGATGGGGAATACGCGACGTATGGCTATCTCTGTCATTGTGGGCGTGGGCGGTACTCCATCAATGAAGACAATACCATAGCGTACCAGAGAAGTAACCAACGACTTGACCACGTCATCGTTATTGATCAGCGCAGACAAAGAGAAGCGTAAGTTCTGTTCGTGCTTTAGAATTGTGTTGCCATTCCAAGGGGTGTGGATTGTGGAGCTCGTACGACGGCTTATCAGCGCATCCAGCTGGGAGTTATAGATGTTGTCGATGTCGTAGTTGGCTTTATGACCATCGCTCCCTTAACACAAAATGTAGTCTAAGGATATAAATGATATTTCACAATCTAGTTTCTTACTTACACTCCACCAACAACTGTTGATCCGACTTATAGCTTAGTTTCGAAGCCTTTACAGTAGCTGGTAGATCGAAAAGGTTATAGCGTCGCTGCTTCGTATCCGCATCCACACAATCCACACAGCGGCAATGATACCGCAGCCAAAGCTCATCAACCTCTAGAATTTTACCCGTTTCTGGATGCCTTAACTCAATCATATTAAAATGTATTCAAAAATTACACGACTCGACAGAGCTGAGCGGCGTTTAGCGACTGGCTAAGCTGCTGATCGTTTTAGATGCTTTTTACCAAGTAATCATTTGTTATCAGTCGTAAATGAACATCGAACCTGACGTGTCCATAATGGGCTTATCTCACCAATTAAGTGGTATGAAGATGTGACGGATGAACTGGTGACCATACTTTTAGAAAAATATACAGTATGATCAACAAAAGTTGGAACTGTTGATATACGCAAATACTATGTATTTCTATTTACCACATGTTGTTGGCTAATTTTGTAAAACGACGTGCGTATTCATGAGTATTTAAGTACAACTTCGTGAATAAACTAATGAATTTGTTGTCCTAGTTCCATATACCGATTCATTCGACATAAAGTTGATATTCTGTTTGTTGCAATTTTAGCTTAGTCGAAGAGTTATTACATTATCTTGTTTAAATAAATATAAATCGTATAAATCTATTTTAAATATTAATCACATGCGCTCAGAAATGTATGTTTTAGCTCCCAATTTATTTTATTCAGTCTACGACTGTTATTTTCTACACACTCACACGTCTCAAAAAAACGTACAAGGAAATATTTAAAACACTATTTTTAGGCGAAATTCAAGGTTTTCTATATCTCTTCCAAAATGGTTGTCATCCGGGGCATGTATGAGACCTCAGAGCTGTTTGCCTCAACTATCGGGTGTGTGGGCCTACACCTGGCCAGTATTAATGTGTTGCCGATGCGATACCTCCCCGACCTGCCTTCAGCCTTGTGTCTCTTCTCCACCGTTGTGCTCCTCAATTATTGGCGAGTGCAAGCCCTAGTACCCTTGCAGCAGCTTTGGCAGTTTTTGCTCGAAATGGTAGCCATTTATATAAGCTGTCAGATTGGCATGTTTATATTTTGGGACCAGTTTTGTATTGGAATCGAATGTATACGTGATTATGTTTTATCGACGAAATCGGCCGTCCATCTCATGAAGAACATGCCAAGATTGTTTTTCTGCATCAGGCAGGATCTGTTCTATATTTTAAAGCTGGCCATTGTGTCCCTTTTCACATATAAGGCTTTGATGTTTACCCAAGCACTGGACTACATTATGCCGTGGCGCCGTACATATCACTACTTCTCAAGCTCACCCGATAACAGGAAGAGCACTACACTTGTAAAACGAAGTGGAAGGCGGCGTCGAGATGGAAGCTTCACATTATCAGATTTGCCCATAATACCTCACCAAGATCTATCGCATTTTGTCGATTATAGCAATGGCAAAGATAAGATTACATCACATCATCACCGCCATATTATCGGGTGATTGGACAGGACTCGGGTAAATTATTTCACTTCAGCTTATAAGGTTGAACGAGTTGATTATTTATTTTACCACAGCTCTGAATACTGGAGTGAATTACTGTGGCTACACTTTGAAGTAGCCGGTAGCCCAAAATACATATTTATGTTTTTATAAGTACTGTAAACAAACCATTATATTAGAAAATATTATTTCAGGCCTGTGCTCGTATAATATATATAGTACAAAAAGCAAGGTTTGCCTTTCTACTCCACAAAAGAAACGATAATATTTGGAACTTTTGCTAGGTATTAAATTAAAAAGATTTTGCAAATATATATTTAAATTTCGATCTAGAATGAAGAAAGTCTAAAAGCCGACAGTTACAATAATATATGTATGAGCAGCATGGCGGGACGAATTGGTGTAGATATGTCTACCCATCTATCTGTCTGTCTATCCATATGAACACCAAGAGCTAGGCCAAAGGTCGTATGTATCTTATAAAAAACCATATACAAAAATAGTGTCCCTATTTTATAAAGCTGCGATTGGAACGATTGTGTGTTCTGTAAGTTTTCTTATGATATTCTTGTTTCATAGAAATTGAAGTATTTTTAAAATCGGTTAACATATCTACAATAGAATTGATTTATTCAATAAGGTTCATTTCAGTTCAGGAGCCTTAGTGGGGAAAGCGCGTCCAGCTGACAATCAACCGATATTGAAAAGATTTTTGAAAATATAAATATATTATTGAAGTGCTTTAAAATAGTCGTTTAGTCAGCAACCTGCAAAAATGTTTCTCTATCTCGCTTTCTAAAGAACAATTTTTTGTAGCTGTTGAATGATGATTTGCTTGGTCGTTTCTACTTTAAGGGGTATCTTTAATAATAAATGAAATTGTTGTTTCTCATTTGCCTTCGCACGCCATTTCTAATCCACAATTATGCCCGTAATTATTTTTTTACTTTTGCTTGCTCTGCTGTTAAATGTCAAGGCAAGTTTTCAATTTTTGCCAGATGGCCGCCGAAGATGTTTAGTAATTTTGGTACGCTCATAAATTTTGTTATATAAACAGGCGCAGCAGCAAATAATCCAACAATTAGATAAATTAACAGCTTATTAAGGGGAAACTTAGCCCAAAGGTTCCACCCCCAGAATCTTGAAGCTACTGCTTGACTATGTCTTGAAGTGTGTGATGAGGTTTTTAAATGTGATTAAAAATAATGTCATTTGACAAGCTTGGAGCGTTTCACTTGTTAATGGTTCGCATATAAATGAATATTCTATGCATACTTTTACCCTTTCTTTCAACATTCTTATTGGCCATATGGAAGCAACAAAACATTTAGTAATCAACCACACTGCCGCCTGCCACAAAAGTTGTTGGGTCGCGACTTTGCATAACTTGCCAGACATACTCGTACCTATGCCATATATAGTTATATATGCCTCTATGCGCACACATATAGTAGAGTAAAAGGTGTATAGACTTCGTCGTCGCCTCGTTTCAATGTTTCAATATGCAAACATGCAATAACCAAATTGCAATAACAACGAAAGCGATAGCAACAACAACAACTACAAGAGTAGCAGCAACCAGAACCAAAGGCCAAACAATGGCGTCTTTTGGCGCCCTTTGCTCCAACAATTGGGGCGGGCATCGGTGCCTGAACATAATCGCAAATTATAGGCTATATAGCATAGCATATCGTTAGGCCCTTTTGATGCTAGCTGACTAACTGACTGCTTGGTTGGCTCACACACAAACCTACACACATACACACACACACACACACATTCAGCAATTGTGGCGAGTGTCCAAATAAAAAGGTATTCGCTTTTTTTAAAAGCATTTTTCCAGGTATGCCGCATACTGGTGGCTCCTCATTTTGCATTTTTTCGGACTATTATTTGGTCATAATTGTAATTTAGGTATTTGTTGTGCGAGGCGCGTCGTCGAGGCGCAAAATTCAGCTACTTGTTAGGCATGTGATGTGATTTTTTACGGTTCGCATTTGGTGGCTAGTGGGGCTGGTGATACTGTATTTCGGAGCTGGGGTTAGTTGTGGGTGTCGTTTGCACGACAGCCTGGCGCCAATATTGAGTTAACGAGTTGAATGTGCAGTTGCCACAAACACACACACACACTAACACATAAATTATCACTTTGGCGAAGAGGGTGCATGAACTTTGAGGCACGATTCAGTTACCCCAGAAATGTTTCAGAATATTAGCTGTATAGAATGGTAATTATCAAATAATTGATAAGAATAATGAAGTGCAAGCAAATGCAAATACATGTAAACATGTTTTTCTTAGATCTCTAATATTTAATCTTAATATTTAATTGAAGTTGAGTAAAAATTGCTTAACAGAAACCATAAAAAAGAAATTGGTCAATGACTGAACATTAACTTAAATAATATCATTATGTTAATATCAAATGTTTACTATTTATTGGGCTAAACACAATTAAAAGAACGATCGATGGCATACTTGTTGAATAAAACACGAATAACGAATTCTTAACGAGGTCTTAACAATGAAGTGCATTTATTAAAAAACATGCCACCAAAGAAAACTCCAACAAATTAAAAAACAATATAAATAATCAAAACTGATTATATTGAATTTCTTCCATCAGTCAACGTAAAAAAAACCGTTTAAGAAAATCTATAATAATAACTTTAATCACATCTTTTGTATTAAATAGAAATAGTTCTGTTCAGAGTAATTAATAAAAGTGGAAAACGATTTGCAAATGAAGTTTGAAGTCAGATTAGATTGCCAAACTAATGTTCCACTCTGGCCATTGTATATTGCATTATTGTTAGGCCTACTTAGGGCTGATAGACCCGTTGTCATACCACATCATCTCTAGGGAAGAGAATTTGCGCCATCTTAGTACTGAGAAATGGCAGAGAAGGTGCTCAGCGCATTCTGGAGGACATGCCCGCCAAAGGCTCAACAGACACTGGAAAAACTTGTATTAGGTCCGAAGATTATTATTGTGCTCTTTTTTTATAGTGATGTTTACTTAGGGATGCTGTTGTATTATTATTTTTCAATTTGGTAAATTTATTATTTACGCTGCCCAACTGACAATTTATCATTGGCTTCGACGACACAGCAGGTTGGCCGCAACGGGTGTCAAAACCCCACATACTTTGAACTTGCAACGGAAAGTGAATGTCCTGCCTGTTAGACACTTCAACTGTCTGTCTGCGTGTCTGCCTGGTTGTCCTTCCGACTTGTTGGCTGCCGTGGCTATGGCGAGTGCAGCCAGAGGGACCACCAGCCGGCTGGTGAGAAGTTCGCGCATAAAGAAACAGAAACAAATCAGCACGCAATGTCTGCCAAAACACTGCAGTTGGTCACCCACACTCCTTCGAATACACGTATACGGCACCCTCACTGCCCACAAGAAGCACAAAATATAGAAATAAGAAATTTCACTGAAAAATGTTGAAATGCAATGGGGAAGTAAGAAAAGGCGACGACTTTCCGTTTTATTTGTCTGGGTTTGAGTGGCAAACCCAAGAAACCCCCCTTCTCCATATGACAAGCCTGCCAATATATTTGTTGTTTATTTGTTGCTGTCTACGTCGCATTGATTTAAATAACAATTTTTGATATGCGTTTGAATCATATTTTCTTTTTGCGGCAATGTACTTTGAGACTTTCTGTAATTTCTTGCATATTTTATTGTGGCTCTGTCTTTACCCTTTTGTATTTTCAAAATTTTGAGTAGGGCTCTGCTTTCTTTATAACGGAAGTTGCGCGGCGTTTTTGTTGTGGGTGTTCCGGTTATCTTCCTTGTTACCGCTATTACCCGATATGTTGTTGGCCACAGTTTATTCACTTAGGGAGTCGTTGGACTTCCGCTTGTTAGCACCACCAAGTGGCTGTTTTGTTTTGTGGCTGACCAACAACTCCTTCTGCTTTGGCGGCTATTTTTACACCATAAATGTTGCCAATTAGCTGCTCCAAAGAATTGAAAATTTGCATACATATATTTGTACATACTTTAAACGTGTGTTGTTTCTATCAACATAAATAGTGTTAAGTATTTAAACTTGGCCGCATCTGCAGATAAAGCAAGCAAAAAGAAAAATGCCTTAACTAATGATCGTGAAAAAGATGTGTCATCGAATTGATAGAGAAACGATTTCTTTACTTTTTGGATATGATGGTTCTGTCCATGTTAGTAGTTCTTACAAGAAACAGTTTTTGAAGGTATTATTTAGTACAACTACAGGTTATAATTAATTAATATATAGAAAACCTATGTAAATACCACTTACAAAAGATAAACTCTAAAAACTATGATCCTAAACAAACACACAAGTCTAACAATTTCATTTTTATTCAGAATTTAGAGAACAAAACGACATTGCTAAATTTTTTCATGAACACTGTACATACATAGTATTGAAGTTCAGTTGAATGCAATGCAAAATGTTTAATAATGTTAGATCAAAAATCTATGAGATATACATTTCAATAGATATTATTTTAATATAGTATATGTATACGAGTGCGCATGTAAACTATTGCATTATAAGTGTATATATTTTATAGTAATAATTAAAGTGTACATCAAATATCCAAATGATCATTTAAGTCAAATCTTTTTATACCTCACATGCTTTTACACTTTTTAAGAATAAAGTTTCCATATTATTGGCCAACTTACAATTATTCAATTCGGCAATGGTACCATACGATAATCGCACACAGTGTAAGATGAACAAAACATTTGGGACACTTAACATATTCCACACGACTGGCACATTAACAGCAGACGAACCGAGCTCTATAAAATTCACAATAATGGAGGCGAACAAAAACTTTGGCTTTGCTTTTCCCACTTTCACTGCAAATCGCCAGGAATTTCCGCTGCTAATGTGAATTTATATTTTTCCGCTGCGAAAAGTAAAACTGCAGGGCGACGACGTCCGCACACGCTACCAACTGGCCGCGTACTGTCAAGTGGCGCGACTCCGTCCCTGATAATCAAGTGTCAAAATTCATATTCAAAATTCAAATGCTGGCGTTGCGCATGTGTCTTGCGGGCTGCCAAATGGGCGGCCATGAGTGAAGGGAGCTGCGTGATGTGGGGGGTCTGGGTCTGGGCAGTAGCCAAGGTGCCGGCTGTTTGGCTACTAGACTGCCTTCACTGCTTTGGCTGTTTGGCTGCCTGAATGGTTGGGCTGCCTGGCGGCCAAAAGAATGCAATAGTAAATTGTTCATTCATAAAGCGCACGGCGCACAGTGGTGTGGATTGAATAACTTTTGGGATGGCACAGGATGACAACTATTTAAGGGTGCTGTTAATTGGTTATTTTATTATTAATGTTTTATTTCGAGGCAGACAATAATTTGACAGAGACAGGCTACCTTATGCCACCAATAACAATCACTTCAGTACTTTAGGGTTGACCAGTTGTGCTTAAGATGGGATGCTAGAAGCAAGTGCCTTTAGCGCCGATTGGCTAAGTGTAATGGTTAGTAGTGGGTCCCGACAGATAAAAGTATTATAATTATTTATGAACATATTTTCCAAGCAGTAATAGTCCTGATCAGCGCTTCCAATCCAATTGGCCACAAACTTTAACAAATAAGCAATAGAAATACAAACTATTTTTAACATTTGTATCACTGTGCGGCAACGTCTTGAATATCCGCTTGCACGTGGCGCTTCATTGTAGTTTTTTGTTGTTGTTAGGACTCTTGCCGTAGTTGGAGCTGTTTATTTGACACCCGCCGAGGTGAAAGTGACATTTGATTGGGTTGAAAGGAACATGCAACAATAGTTGCGTTACCTGGGTGATGCTTAAGCCCTTTCAACAAGTACAACACCTTTTCTCGCTGTCATGCCTCTTCCTCACATGCATGTATTTCCCTGTAATTAACTCCAAAATTCCACACATGAAACTTGCTGCTGTGTCTTCATTTTGTCTTCCTCCAACAGCTTTTACTTTTTCGCTAAATTCGCAGTTTTTGTTTGCCACCTTGGTGGGCATCTGCAAATGTGTGTGTGTGTGTGTGTGTGTGTGTTTGCGTATGTGATTTGATGTGTGTGTGTGTGTACGTGTATTTGCGCATAATTAGCGCTTTTCAATAACATCTCTGACTGTTGTTGCTGAATCGTTGATTTCAATCATTTTTTGTTGCTGCACGCAAGTTTTTTTGGGGGGCTGTGTCTACCCCGCTGAATTGAACTAAGTACGTGAAAATAATTAAGATGTTTGCATACAGATTGAAAGGAATAAAAGCATAAAATACTGTGAGTTCAGCAAAAACAATAAACATATACATTTCTTAAAATAAATATTGCTTTTTGCTTGAACATTTGAATTTTATTTTATTTTAACAAATTAAATCTAGTATCTAATACTAAACTTAATATTAGATTAACGAGTACTAGCTACTATTTGAATTTTATTTTATTTTAACAAATTAAATCTAGTATCTAATACTAAACTTAATATTAGATTAACGAGTACTAGCTACTGGGGCTTTCGACTCGAATTTTATTATTATAACTATTACTATTAGTTTTCAAGTTGCATGTTTATTAATCTGCAAGGTGCTGTGTCTACTTTTTGATAAAATATTCCCGTTTTGATGGATTAATAAGGCATATCTTTTATCGAGTTTCCATCGAGCCATGTTACCACACACATCATTTTGTTTGTGATCGGTACAAATTTATTCCGAAAGGTTTCAATATTATGAATCCAGTTTGTGTTGATGAATTATTTCGTAGCAGAATCGGCGAGACGTATATGCGATTAATTGTAGCTAAACCTGTACGAGTTGCCAGTTACAATTGATGGAAATGGGATTAAATATCTTGACATCATCGCGATTGAACCATTCTTTGTTTCACATTTGTTACTGATTTTATGAAAAAAAATCAACTAAATATCACAGTTAATTTGTGCCAAACTATCACCTCTGTGTTCGTATTTTTAGAAAGTCCTGTTTAATCCTTAACATCGTTTAAAAGCTTGGAAATAGTAGTATAAGACTTTCATCGACCTGCCAAGTTTCCGCCTGTTAGCGCATACACAGACCTTTTTTCCTAAGGAGCTTTACTCCAATCATCATCCGGTTGGGCTTTCGAATTGGAGCTTTCACAATTCTCAGCTTTCATTACGTTTGAAAAGCAATTTGGATAAGGCAATGTAATACGTATAAAAATATATTTTCGGGTTTTAAAAAGCCACTTATTGAACATTGTAACACACAATTTCATTATTTGTATTAAAAAATATAAATAGGAAAACAAGAATGTTGCTAAATAGTATTTCTAATGAAGAGATTCATTTGAAAATACATAATCTGAATAATCTTAAGTCCTGTATTTGTATTAAACACAAAAGAGGACTTCAAAGATTGCATGAATTCTTATATGAATTTCAACTTCTGAACTCTTTTTAAAGAGGAGAAACAATGTTGCTGTTAAAACTTGTCGGAGCAAATGAATATTTATTTTTAATTTTACACCTGCTATTATGGTTAATTATGAGAGCATTAAAGCGTTGAATTAAATTTAATGCAGAAACACCTCATAAATGAACGCAATTGCTGTATACGACTATATGTATGTATATGGGTGTTTATTACAAATACATACATATGACTCAACAATAGCAGCAGCAGCAGCAGCAGCTACAACAACAATAGCGACATTAACAATAACAATAACTAGTACAAACATTAAGGCTTAAGCACACAAATAAACATAAACATTTATGTCAATAAAATGAACTGATGCTTGACCTGTGCGAACAGATAAAATGGTCACCAGACGTAGACACGCACGCACATGTGGCTAAATATTTAACCCATTAAAGCCAATGTACACATCATGCACAATTATTTGAGTATAATTTATGCTGAATGGTAAGGAACAAAATAAAGCGTAGCAACAGAAACCCTTCAATTGAAATAAAGGACAACTTGAATAATTAAATAGGGATTGCTAAGGCTGCCATGCAGGCAAATATTTTACAAACAAATTGGAGGTAGTTATTTGTTATATTAGAAAATTACATTTAAGTACTAGTATTTTGTTGGTTAAAATCATGACAGTATGTGAAAAATACAACAAATGTGTATTTGGTTGGGAAAAATTATCTTTATCCAAATAATCCCCTTATAGCTGGAAACACCTTTCTCAGCGTCGTTAAATAGTGAAATAGAACTGCTTAGGTTTTTTAAACCTAGTTCTCATACATATTTGAACGAAAACAATCATTTGTGTAAAAATTAATACATCGTGTGTCGTTTGTTTTGAAAAGAACTACAAACAATGAAATTGAATTGATGTCACTGAGCTGCAATTAAAAACTAAATTAAATGAAATTAAAAATTAAATGATCCACTATTCGAACGAAAGGGTAATGGGTTAAAAGAGAGCTCCAGACAGAATACTGACATTTTCCTTGGCTATAGACTGGTATTGCAAAGGGTTGCTGGAGGAGAGAATCTGTTACCTTAATTGCAGTCTACCACGACGGCCTTTTGCCAAACGTTTGCCAGCATCTATGTAAATATATAGTATTTTTAGTCAAAAAGCGTTAGCATCACACACGACTGCTTCGATGTCTGCATCTTCTGCTTCTCAGTTGGCCTCAGTTGCTTTGATTAGGTTTTGTCTGTCTCAAAATTCGATTTACACTCGCATGTTGTCAGAACTAGAGCGTCTCTGTGTGGGTCCTCTAATTGTTAGTGTAAACGCTACACTATGCTACTCCCATGGCTTAATTGAGTTTGCATATGGTTTGCTTTGAACAATTAGATTAGCAGAGGCTAAGGATTGCATTAGGCATCGATACCTGCTATCACTTTTAGTTTGGACGGGCTTCGTTTGGTTTCTACTTGTATTGAGTTGTGAATACGTTTTGTTGTTGAATTGCATTTTCAGCATTTATAGTGTACTTGTGTTTATTTGTTCAGAGCTTATGTCATAAATGTGTTGTGCGCATACTATATGTACACTTTTTTTTTCCTATTCATGCATTGCATTTGGCAAAGTGATGAATTTTTTAAATAAACATTCGTTTTGAATATGGAAGAATAAAGAACGTCGTGTTTTAACAGATTTATTTATTTATTATTTTTTATAAACTTCTGTTTAGCTGACCGCTTGCGAGGAGTGTTTTATTTACTACTTTTTTTTAACTTTTTGATCTATACATTACGAATACTGTCTGGTAAAGTATTATTGATAGAATTAAATGGTCAACTGAAAGGTCTTGGTCTAAATAATAACAGCCATGCTGGATTCTAGTCCGCTCCGATTTGGTGGCAATGTTACTGAATGACAATTGATTGAAGCTAAGCAAAGTAGGAGCATTGTGGAGATGAACAAGCTGTGCGCCATATGGTTGAAGTCGTTAGATGATTGGCCATGTTTCATGGCAAATATGGATGAGCCGTGGGTCTATCAGTTCAACCCGAGACTTAGAGATAGTCGATATTTTGTAAAAAAGAATGTTGTTAGAATTGACCCTCCTTGCACTATTTGATCAACAAATTATGCCCAAAAGAAATGTAATGGAAAAGCCAGAAAAGGAAATAAAGGATAGTTATTTATAATATCAATACAAACTTTATATTATCATATAACATAATTGAAGTATTAATAGCAATACTCACATAAATATATATATATATGGAATAATTTAAACTTATATTGTTTAAATGCTCATTAAGGGAATGGAGAAAAAATGTTTTTCAATCTACAATTTTAGGTGCCTTTTACATCAAAAGCGAATTGTTTGCGGCTAGTTTAGTAACAGAGTTGACGTAATACATATTACTTTATTTTAATTGCAGCACAATGGCATGAAGAGTTTTTAGTTTTGTTGCATTTCATTTAAATTAATTAAACTTTTTGAGGTTGAGCGAATTGTGAAAAACTGGTTGCGTTCTGTTATAAATTAATTATATGTTTTAAGTCTTACTACAAGCCTGCATTTATATTTGTTTTGTTCTTTTTTGTGCTATTTTTTTCCCCTGTTTTAATCGGATTTCGTTGAGTTTTAAAACCTTTGCTGCATTTGCCCTCAGGTTTATGTTGTGAGTGTTGTTGTACTTCTTGCGGTTTTTCTGCCTTTCTGTTGCTTGCAATTAAATGTGCATTTCCAAATGGCAAATGAAATAATTTGTGAACCATTTATTATCTCTTCGCATCAAATTGCAATAAGTGCACATGTACAAATGAATGTGAACTAATTTATTTGAAATTGTTGATTAAATATTCAATATTTTTTTTCGGAAAATAAATGGAAAACAGTTGAAAAGCATTGCAACATAATAATGGTAATAACAATAAATTTCTTGAATAACTGTAAAAGCTAATAGTACTTATAATGGCATATAGCCAACTAAAATATTGATGAAGTTGATTGGCAGACAAGATGAAATTAGGCAAAAATGATCAATTTGTTTTAAAGGAAATAATGAGCTGTTTGAAAAGTCTACACTGCCAATAATTAATTGTCCTCAAATTTGAAAAAGACGGAATTGCATCACGGCCGACTCAATACTTACTTTCTACAATAAATCCATGGAACTTGCAGTTTGTCTCTATGTGTGTTGCAATTTTGCGAACGAATCTTTGTAAGACAACACAGTACTTAATTATTAAAGCCAATCAAAAGCTGTTCAGCTTTATATTTACGACTTAACTGAATTTCTTTGCATTTACAATTGAATAACTTTATCTTTAAAACTAGCTGCTTATTTAATTTTGAAAGCTGGCCTTTTAGTTCTTAGCATGCCATTTAAAAGCTGCAAAATCATTTGCTAATATTTTCAACATTTCATGTACGAGTGAGCTTGCTTGTCTTTTCTCTGCAATATTTATTTGCACTCACAAGTATGCCAACAACAATACTACAATTCTACAATATCTATATTCCCAATTGATTTCGCCACCATCGATATGTCAACATATTTTCGAAATGCATTGAAAATCTATCTTCATAAATATTGAAATACTTATGAAACTAGGCAAATATTTCATGCTATTTTCTCACCACCTCACCCATTCTCTCCAGCTCAATGCGCACACAGGCATACTATATACACATTCCCTTGAGCTAAAAGGCAGCCCCAAATGCAGAAACATTTTTCATTTCAACACGAACAAAATTGCATTTTTTTTTAAATAGGAAATACATGGCAAAGAAAAAAGGAACTATTTCTAGTAATAAATAAAAAAGGAATAATAAATATGCTGCACAGAACTAACAAATGCACACGAAACGTGTGCGGGGGGCACAAAACGAAATATTTAAAAAAGCTTTTAAGTGTTATTGATAGTTCTGTTTGCTCTTCTTCCTATTCAGGCCTCCACCCCTCCACTCCCCTCGCCTCTTCAACATTCTATCCTCCACCTATCCCCCAAACGTCCCATTTGTTAGGCGTGTATTTTGTTTCAGTTGTTCCTTTTTGTACTCTTTTGTATAGATTTGTTCGTGGCATCATCCACGTCATCGTTGTTGTTGCCATTGTTGTTGCCATTGTTGTTGCTGTTGGAAACCCTTCCGGTTATTTAAATGCTTACAAATAGAAGTTGTTGGGCGTTGGACGAGGGATTGCAAAAACAACAGCAACTACCACATGCTCAACAGTTGTTTGCTTTGGCATCCTGCGGCATGTTGCACTTTTTATCTTTTCCCATATCTGGGTCAAATTGTAACAAATCCTGCGTCCTGCAGCGCATTACAACTGTACCAAGCTGTAGAGAAATTTGAAATTTGTGAATAAAAGTAAATATGTACGACGTAGGAAGATCTTGTCTCAAATAAAATATACTATATAAATATACTTCCATTTTATTGCATTGTATTGTATTGATTGTATTATTCAAAACTACTTGCCGATAATTAAAGTTGGCATTATTATTAAAATTATTAGTAATATAATAACTTTAGTTTTATAAAAAATCAATAAAATGAAAGTAAAAACTATTCTTAGGAAATGGAGCTATGCTAAAATATAACGCATTACTGTATTTTTGAACACCATATTTGTTTGTCTTCTAGCTCAATTTGTATTAATAATAATATTGATATTAGTAAGTTTAATATCTTATAAAATAATAACTGTTTAAATGCAGTTCGTCAACAAGTATCTGAAAAGGTATAGAATATCAATTCAAAAGAAAGTAATCGAAAATTCTTCTCAGCTGGTATTCTCTGTTTCGATTTATGCAAAACCAAAACCACTCTGTTTATACTACACATAAAGCTTGCCAATAGTCAAGCGTATGGCTGCCAATAAAGCCTGGTTTTCCAATGCTTTTGATGCTATTTTACAAACAAAAACTATGGCAAGCTTCTGTGTTGAATGCTGGAATACACCGCCTCGCATCTGAATATATTCAAAAGACTTGTTCACAAGTTTGAAATTCCGTTCTATTGGAATAATATTGTATAGTTGCTGTGCATTGTTTTACCAAAAATAGGCAAAATCAATTACCCTACTACAGGGAAAACAAATGAGGAAAAAACCAATTGGAATGAGTTTTTCCTTTTCGATTTAACTTTTATAACATATTTAATACTTCAGCCCACCACCAAATCTGACTTGTACGAAATTTTCAGTCAGCTTTCAAGGAGCTTAAATATTTTTGTGATAATAGAAGACAGCTTGATGAGCTGATTGACTATAAGTGTTGTTGGAGTTTGCACCTGCCATATATCTAGAATCTTCCCATTCCTCAAGCTGAAATTTGAAAGTAGTATAATCGAAAATCAAATAAGGGTCTAATAGTATAGTATATATACTTTTATCAGTGGTTGCTGGTTCTATTACCTTGAACATTGCTGTATTTTCTATGCTCTTTGCTGGCAAATACGTATTTGTGAATGTATTTATCATTCGGTTCCTTGTTGCATTGTATTGTATATTTATTTGTACGATTTGGTTTTGTTTTTGATATTTTGTGTTTTGCACATATTTTGCTTCGCACACACATGCTTCATTGTTTTTATCATCATGCCAGCGGTGGCGCTTTTGCCCGGCATTTACCATGTGGCATGTTGTTGTGGAGAGTGGCAGGAATAATTCAATTGCTACAATATGATGACCATTGTGTGGACAAGCGAACGCGATTAGAGGCATGTTGTGTGGTAAGGGGGCAAAAAATACAATTATTTCTGGACATTAAATTGATTTAGAAAATTCTGTTGGTCATCAAAAACACCAGAAACTATAAATTTTAATTGTGTTTAGCCTCCTATTTGGTTTGTTTGATCTTATCTATTCAAAACTAATGTTCCATTAATAAAAGCTTATGGAATAAAATACGTATGCAGACATATCGTAATATTATTCAAAGGCTAGAAATCAAAGAAAGTGTTTTATCAATTTGATTATTCTTATTATTATTCTTACATTTGTTTTCAATTTTTACAACCCAGCTTAAAGCATAGTAATTAGATATTTAATGCTTAAAACTTATAATAGAGAAAGAGATTTGGATTTGATATGAAAACGTGAATTAGGAAATGAAGCCAAAGACAAGCTAACCAGAATATGAAAATGAATTAATGTCCGATAAAAAGGAAGGATAAATAGGAGATCGAAGCACTTACATCCAGCTTTCTAAACTTGTTTCTTCCAAGTTTCTGCAACTCTTTGCCATGTCAATATTTATATCACTGCTGCCCCATTGCTATGCAGAGGCACTGCTTAGATGTGTCTTGTTTGCATTTATTCCGTGTGCCCTGTTGTCACTGCGTTGAACCTAACTGAAAGGCGTCCGAAAACATGTGACCCACATGCATGTTAAACCTGACAACTCTCACAAGCTAACACACTCACTTATGTATGCAGTGCCGTTATATTATAGTTACTCTGCCAGTCAAGTGTCGCCTCAGATTTTCATAATGTCAGTCAGCAGCACCCGACAAGAGCAGCAACACCGACAGCAACAACAACATGCGCCACAAGTGGCAAGCACAAAAGAAATGCACAGCAGCTTCTTCGTTTCCTTCTGTTTCTTTCTATGTTGGTGCTGCTGGTGCTGCTGCATACTTTAAGGCGCTTAAACGCTTAGAGGAGTCAGTCACATTTGCACCATAAATAAACTGGCATATGCGCCGTGAAGTATGCAACGTTGCGTTGCGACGCTCGTAATGCAGTTAGAGCGACTGCCTTAGCTGTAAGTTGCCGCCAACGCGCGCCATGTGGCAAGATAAATCTCAACAAGTTTTTATGCGTTCTTCGTTCAGACGCTCTCCACTACTTTTTAGCATGACAAAAGTCGACAGCATAAGCCACAATATACAGTATACAATTTTTAGGTTGTGGGTCAAGAAAGTTTTTGTAATAATAATAAAACATACATAAGATATTTTAAACAAACTTACAATGAGTGGGCAACCAAAGCGAAGAAGAATGATTTGTTTATTTATGGCGCAAATGAATTATTATTCCCAAATATTATTGAGTCACATTTATTAAAATTATTTAAATCCATCTAAAGTAAATATAAGTAAAAATCCTAAAGCCCACAACATTGTTGAGGAATAAGACACAGTGTAGAGTACTTTGAACAACCATATATTTTAAGAGATTAATCTAAATATAAATAAAAACATCTATCTTATCAATTATCTCAATAATTGTTATTTTAATTCATCATTTAAATGATTTAATAAATCATTTTTGTCTTTTAGGTCATGATTGGTTTAATATTTTGATAACAACTCGGAAAGATGAATGCCTATTCAGCTCTTTGGGTAAGTTTCAGAAAAAAATAAATAAAAATAAATATAAATTTTGGTTATCGTACTCCGATTAACTACAAGTATAGGCGCTATGTTAAGATTTGGCGAGACAGCTATTGCTACAAATACCTACACTTAAGCAAATTCAATTCAATTTCCAAAGACGACTATTGAATTCATTTTACTTTTTAATTCTGTAGTTTCTCAAAATTTTCCACTGTTTAAGCGTTGCAGACAGCCAAAGAAGGCGAAGGCGCATGCAGACCGGCTGTTGAAAACAGTCAAATCAAGCCAGAGCGCCCAAAAGTATGCAAAATATGTTTTCTCCATTTATTTATTTCTTTTGCGTTAAGCAGCTACGACGTGCTCACCGTTGTTTCTACGTTTTGATTGGAATCTGTTGCCAACGCAGCTGCAACGATATGCATGCTGCAATAGCTTTGGGCGCCGGCTCATTAAAGCAAGCCGCAAAACATTACGCATACGCAGTGTTGACCCAGTTAAAAAGAAGAAAAAAATACATTAAACAAGTGGTTTGTTTTCACTTTGTCGGCGCTACCTCGCCCACTAGCCACCTGCCGCCTTGCTATTTGCCACTGTCGCATGCCATTTGGCTTTGTCGTTGTTGTTGTTGTTATTGCATTCTGTGTTGTGTGTTTTTCGGTTCTTTTGAAATGCCTTTTGGTCATGCTTTGTAATGCAGCCGCCTGACTGACTGCTCAACGTTCCTACACCCGTTTCTCTATTGTCATCTGTTGTTGTCATCTGTGCCGCATTCAACGCTTGTGTTTATGTTCGAAAATGAACGAACGGCAGTCCGAGTAGGGGCGCTCTCTTTGCTTCAATGGAAGTTTCCAGTCAAAACTAAGAGAAAATGCTCTCTTAAAAGTTTGTATGCAAGTAAATTGAAAGCTGCTGGTCAGTTTAATTAAACTGAGGATTAATTAGATGCTTTCTGGACGTGTGTTTCCCAAAATACATAATTGTTATATTACATATGTTATGTGAATGTTATGAATACAACTCCATTTTAGTGGAAGTTAAGCAATGGGCTTAAATTATCTCAAGTGGAATGTGTCGACTCCATTATTGTGCAGGTGCATATAAATTACATACTACAAAATAATAAGCACCACAGGTATCAGAGCGCTTTTGGTTCTTGTTTAAGCACATTGATTAAAATTTGTATCATCACTCTTACTACTTGTTCTATTCTATGTTAGAATCGAAATAATTTCTAAAACTTATATTAAATGCGCTTGAATTCCCCACCACCGGTTGGAGAAATATGTTGTTTAGTCTGTCTTTAGGTTAGGTAATTAGTATTGCCTCTGAGGATTTCAGATTGGGCTCGTAGAACAATGCTCACATTGTTGGTAATTGTTGGTATTTTCCACATAGCTGTGAGCCATAGGTCTCGACTGCCTTTATAGTGGTGTTATACAGTAGGATTTTATATTTCAATTTTAATGAAGAGCGTGTAGAGTGTTCGTTTTATGTTGCATATGCAGTTTTTTGGTTTTGTTGAGCTAGCTCAATTTTGTCGAACAGTTTTGATAATGGACCTATATAATGACACTTGGGTTTTATCTTTTCCTGGTTTGACGATCTATATTATAATTCATTTAATATATAAAATATATAAAAAAGGAATTGCATTATTATCTAAATTGATTAAAAACTAAGTTTTTTTATGAACGCGTATATAGATTTATTTTTGTTAAATAAGTTTGTTTAAAAGCCCTTGACCGTTCATGATTTTTGTTATAAAGTTAAATGCTCCTAATTGTAATCCATTAAAAGACCGCATTTAATAATGTGCTCTTATTTATTTTTTTAATTCACATTAAATATGGCACATATTTACTAAAAAAGTGAAAAAGTCGAATAAACACAAACTTCAACCACTTGCAAAGGCCCGTCAAAAATGCACTTAAAGGATTATGTGCAACACATTATTGACACAATTAAGCTCCTCCCTCCCACACACACACACACACATACACAACCACGACGCTGAGCGCCTAAAAGTGAGCTACTGTTTTTAGTAATTTATTTTGTATACCCTGTAATGGATAAAATATGCTTCTGTGTGGTACCAGCTAAAAGTAAATCAAGAATTTTATTTTATTTCGAAATCATTTCGCATATCGCTTTCCTTCTTAATCTATAGAGTGTATAAACATGTATATATTTGAATTGATTGTACCTAGTTAAGCAAACTAACTTTTAAAACACATTAGTATATATTTTTTCATGCAGCTTTTATAAGAATAATATTATAATATTCATTTGCATATGTAAGGAACACCCAGCAGCAGCAATATCTTCAATATTCGGTACTCATTCACCGCTGAATTACAACTATGATGCTAACTTCTGCTTAGAACGAATTACAGCTGAGGTTTTTCTCAACCGATTTCCGGCTGACGACTTACTACGACGTAATAAAGATAAGACAAACGTCGATATTATTATCTGCCAAGAATTACGAGAGCTATTCATGCCCTTAATGCCCTTAAAAAAACAAAATTTATACGATGGCCAAATGGAAGTGTTTGATTTTCAATAAACCAAAAAATATACGAAAAAATATTGCTTTTTATAGCATCCCTATATGAGCCACCCGGAATTTATTTCTTATAAATTATTCTCTGACTTATAATCATATGCGAGTTTAGATTTTGTGACTTATTAGCTTATTTTACGAAAAGTTTCAGACACAGCCATTGAGTTCAGAGTATTCCATATTCACATAACAAACAACTCAGCATTGCCGGGGGTTTTTGTTGATCCCCATTTTCCGCCTCTGCGTCGGCCAACATAGTCTATCAAAAATTTGTATGATTGGTGTATGGCAACAGCTGGGTTAGGCATTTTGCCAGGATGCGGGGCTTGTCAGTTTATCTGTTGACAATTGGCAGCAACAAAAATAGGAAATGAAGAATCTGATTCGTTGCCAGCTCGTTTGTCGGACTGTGTATATATTTTTAGGCGGGCTCAGCTTAAAAGATAATTGCCAAAAGTTGTAAAAAGTTTTTCTAACATTTTTTTCGAGCTAGTCGAAAAGTTTGGCTTTTTGTTTTGGGTCAAGCTGTGCCGACCTCCCGAAAGTTGTTGGCAACACATTTTGCGCTGTCTAATTGAGTGTGTTTAAAGTCTCGCCTGAAAAGTTGGGCGGCATACTGGCTGTGATTTAAGCCAAGTGAGTGGTCACTCAATGCAATATACATATGCAAAATGCCTACAAACTGTTGAACATTTCTACTGACACTGACAGTCGTTGTGGCTTGCATTATTGCTCCACTCGTGCTACGTAATTTGCTGGCACTTGTTGTTCTTGTTTTTGTAGTTGTTTTGATTGAGTTGAGAAAATTTGTAATTTATTTTCTCTTTTCACATTAATTTCTCTCATCTGTCGCCCGGTCCATTGCACATATGGCAATGCAACGGAAATGAATGAGGCGCATAAAAATGACGCCACTTGCTTTCTACTGTCATTTCCGTCAATAAAAATAAATAAATAAAAAAAACAACAGTTCTACGTGCGCGTGTAATAAAATAACAAAAATGCCAATTTCCGTCAATGCAATGTTGGCCAACTCTGACCAAATGTGTGCTGCGAATTTCGCATGCACGGGTCGTATACGCAATATTCAGCCTTTTTTCCATTTGTCTTCTCTGTTGCAACATGCAAATAAAAAAGGAGCATTGCAAATTTATTGTGCGGTTGGCAACGCTCGCAGCTTTAAACACGCAAATGAATTGCGTATTGCGATCAGTGACAATGGATGGACGGAGAATTCGGTCCAATACAGTATTTATATGACAAACTCCTTTTTTACCGGACATTTTTTATAGCATTATAAAGTTTGTAACGTTTCAAGCAATCAATAGTCAGTTCTAGTTCTCTTATTGTTGAAAATCATTACAAAAGTGCTGATGTTCGTTAATTGACATTCAAATGGTTCTATATTTTGTTGCAAATAAAAAAATCCTCGTTTGTGTTTTGGAGATGAAATTGGCATGTATTTAAGTTGTTGTTTTTAATGCAAATAAACTTTGATAGGGTATCGTCATAGTCAAGTGCAGTTTAATTAATGCATTGTATTGCCTTAATATTGTATTGGCAAACCTTATTGGGGAAGTCATGTTCAAGGCCGATTTTCAGTCTTCAGTGTCTTAAGCCTTGATAGCTAAGTATGCAGGTTCACGGATTTAACAGTTCGGTAGAAATACTACTTATATGTATTTATGATTAGTAAGATTTCAACAAGCATACAATTTAAATTAAAAACATATTTATGTTTCGTTTTCTGATTCAGTGCTTCGGAGTTGAATTCGTTCTGCATATTTATTATATATTTGTATGAATTTATGAACAAATTAAAGGGCATATTCATTTCGACTGATTGTTTTTTTAAACTGTATTTTGGTATATATTTTTAATTTCAACATGTTGATTGGCATTGCGAAAACAACCAAGATTTAAGCAGAAGAACACGTGTTATTATTGTCTCTCTTGTCGTATTATGAAACAAAATAAAATCGTTTTTCATTTAATTATAGTTGCAGTGTGAGGAAATGTGGAAGGATATGTCAATTAATATGATAATTTTTTGTTTCTTTAATAATCAATTGACAGCGCACACATGTTTTAATTGTAAAGCCTACGACATGGAAAATTAAAAGTGCAAATATATTTATGTATGTATAAAATAATTACCTGTTATGTAAGTATTTAAGTCCAACTACTGTACATAAGAATTTAATTTGAGGAAGTATAGCCAATGGTCAAAATATTCGAAATTTATTTTAATTTAAAGAATATTTGACCATAACAGCACTAAGGTTTTATTACCAATTCATTACCCTACTGCCTCCTCATCATATTGATCTAATGATCAAATGGATGTGGCCAGGACATCTCGAATATTTGTTAAGAAGAGACTTTTTCATCCACAAAACCTCAAATTTAACTGCTGGCGAGTATGTTTGGCAAACTTTTAAAG